GCGTGGCGTGCGTGTGCATGTGTGTGTGTACGTGTATCTACGTGTGGATGTACGTGTGTACGCACCGGGCGAGTTGGACGCGCAGGCAGCGCAGAGTGGCGCGAGACGCGGCGTGCGTGTGCATGTGTGTGTGTACGTGTATCTACGTGTGGATGTACGTGTGTACGCACCGGGCGAGTTGGACGCGCAGGCAGCGCAGAGTGGCGCGAGACGCGGCGTGCGTGTGCATGTGTGTCTGTACGTGTATCTACGTGTGGATGTACGTGTGTACGCACCGGGCGAGTTGGACGCGCAGGCAGCGCAGAGTGGCGCGAGGCGTGGCGTGCGTGTGCATGTGTGTGTGTACGTGTATCTACGTGTGGATGTACGTGTGTACGCACCGGGCGAGTTGGACGCGCAGGCAGCGCAGAGTGGCGCGAGACGCGGCGTGCGTGTGCATGTGTGTGTGTACGTGTATCTACGTGTGGATGTACGTGTGTACGCACCGGGCGAGTTGGACGCGCAGGCAGCGCAGAGTGGCGCGAGACGCGGCGTGCGTGTGCATGTGTGTGTGTACGTGTATCTACGTGTGGATGTACGTGTGTACGCACCGGGCGAGTTGGACGCGCAGGCAGCGCAGAGTGGCGCGAGACGCGGCGTGCGTGTGCATGTGTGTCTGTACGTGTATCTACGTGTGGATGTACGTGTGTACGCACCGGGCGAGTTGGACGCGCAGGCAGCGCAGAGTGGCGCGAGGCGTGGCGTGCGTGTGCATGTGTGTGTGTACGTGTATCTACGTGTGGATGTACGTGTGTACGCACCGGGCGAGTTGGACGCGCAGGCAGCGCAGAGTGGCGCGAGACGCGGCGTGCGTGTGCATGTGTGTGTGTACGTGTATCTACGTGTGGATGTACGTGTGTACGCACCGGGCGAGTTGGACGCGCAGGCAGCGCAGAGTGGCGCGAGACGCGGCGTGCGTGTGCATGTGTGTCTGTACGTGTATCTACGTGTGGATGTACGTGTGTACGCACCGGGCGAGTTGGACGCGCAGGCAGCGCAGAGTGGCGCGAGGCGTGGCGTGCGTGTGCATGTGTGTGTGTACGTGTATCTACGTGTGGATGTACGTGTGTACGCACCGGGCGAGTTGGACGCGCAGGCAGCGCAGAGTGGCGCGAGACGCGGCGTGCGTGTGCATGTGTGTGTGTACGTGTATCTACGTGTGGATGTACGTGTGTACGCACCGGGCGAGTTGGACGCGCAGGCAGCGCAGAGTGGCGCGAGACGCGGCGTGCGTGTGCATGTGTGTGTGTACGTGTATCTACGTGTGGATGTACGTGTGTACGCACCGGGCGAGTTGGACGCGCAGGCAGCGCAGAGTGGCGCGAGACGCGGCGTGCGTGTGCATGTGTGTCTGTACGTGTATCTACGTGTGGATGTACGTGTGTACGCACCGGGCGAGTTGGACGCGCAGGCAGCGCAGAGTGGCGCGAGGCGTGGCGTGCGTGTGCATGTGTGTGTGTACGTGTATCTACGTGTGGATGTACGTGTGTACGCACCGGGCGAGTTGGACGCGCAGGCAGCGCAGAGTGGCGCGAGACGCGGCGTGCGTGTGCATGTGTGTGTGTACGTGTATCTACGTGTGGATGTACGTGTGTACGCACCGGGCGAGTTGGACGCGCAGGCAGCGCAGAGTGGCGCGAGGCGTGGCGTGCGTGTGCATGTGTGTGTGTACGTGTATCTACGTGTGGATGTACGTGTGTACGCACCGGGCGAGTTGGACGCGCAGGCAGCGCAGAGTGGCGCGAGACGCGGCGTGCGTGTGCATGTGTGTGTGTACGTGTATCTACGTGTGGATGTACGTGTGTACGCACCGGGCGAGTTGGACGCGCAGGCAGCGCAGAGTGGCGCGAGGCGTGGCGTGCGTGTGCATGTGTGTGTGTACGTGTATCTACGTGTGGATGTACGTGTGTACGCACCGGGCGAGTTGGACGCGCAGGCAGCGCAGAGTGGCGCGAGACGCGGCGTGAGTGTGCATGTGTGTGTGTACGTGTATCTACGTGTGGATGTACGTGTGTACGCACCGGGCGAGTTGGACGCGCAGGCAGCGCAGAGTGGCGCGAGGCGTGGCGTGCGTGTGCATGTGTGTGTGTACGTGTATCTACGTGTGGATGTACGTGTGTACGCACCGGGCGAGTTGGACGCGCAGGCAGCGCAGAGTGGCGCGAGGCGTGGCGTGCGTGTGCATGTGTGTCTGTACGTGTATCTACGTGTGGATGTACGTGTGTACGCACCGGGCGAGTTGGACGCGCAGGCAGCGCAGAGTGGCGCGAGGCGTGGCGTGCGTGTGCATGTGTGTGTGTACGTGTATCTACGTGTGGATGTACGTGTGTACGCACCGGGCGAGTTGGACGCGCAGGCAGTGCAGAGTGGCGCGAGACGCGGCGTGCGTGTGCATGTGTGTGTGTACGTGTATCTACGTGTGGATGTACGTGTGTACGCACCGGGCGAGTTGGACGCGCAGGCAGCGCAGAGTGGCGCGAGACGCGGCGTGCGTGTGCATGTGTGTGTGTACGTGTATCTACGTGTGGATGTACGTGTGTACGCACCGGGCGAGTTGGACGCGCAGGCAGCGCAGAGTGGCGCGAGGCGTGGCGTGCGTGTGCATGTGTGTGTGTACGTGTATCTACGTGTGGATGTACGTGTGTACGCACCGGGCGAGTTGGACGCGCAGGCAGCGCAGAGTGGCGCGAGACGCGGCGTGCGTGTGCATGTGTGTGTGTACGTGTATCTACGTGTGGATGTACGTGTGTACGCACCGGGCGAGTTGGACGCGCAGGCAGCGCAGAGTGGCGCGAGGCGTGGCGTGCGTGTGCATGTGTGTGTGTACGTGTATCTACGTGTGGATGTACGTGTGTACGCACCGGGCGAGTTGGACGCGCAGGCAGCGCAGAGTGGCGCGAGACGCGGCGTGAGTGTGCATGTGTGTGTGTACGTGTATCTACGTGTGGATGTACGTGTGTACGCACCGGGCGAGTTGGACGCGCAGGCAGCGCAGAGTGGCGCGAGGCGTGGCGTGCGTGTGCATGTGTGTGTGTACGTGTATCTACGTGTGGATGTACGTGTGTACGCACCGGGCGAGTTGGACGCGCAGGCAGCGCAGAGTGGCGCGAGACGCGGCGTGCGTGTGCATGTGTGTCTGTACGTGTATCTACGTGTGGATGTACGTGTGTACGCACCGGGCGAGTTGGACGCGCAGGCAGCGCAGAGTGGCGCGAGGCGTGGCGTGCGTGTGCATGTGTGTGTGTACGTGTATCTACGTGTGGATGTACGTGTGTACGCACCGGGCGAGTTGGACGCGCAGGCAGCACAGAGTGGCGCGAGACGCGGCGTGCGTGTGCATGTGTGTGTGTACGTGTATCTACGTGTGGATGTACGTGTGTACGCACCGGGCGAGTTGGACGCGCAGGCAGCGCAGAGTGGCGCGAGACGCGGCGTGAGTGTGCATGTGTGTGTGTACGTGTATCTACGTGTGGATGTACGTGTGTACGCACCGGGCGAGTTGGACGCGCAGGCAGCGCAGAGTGGCGCGAGGCGTGGCGTGCGTGTGCATGTGTGTGTGTACGTGTATCTACGTGTGGATGTACGTGTGTACGCACCGGGCGAGTTGGACGCGCAGGCAGCGCAGAGTGGCGCGAGACGCGGCGTGCGTGTGCATGTGTGTCTGTACGTGTATCTACGTGTGGATGTACGTGTGTACGCACCGGGCGAGTTGGACGCGCAGGCAGCGCAGAGTGGCGCGAGGCGTGGCGTGCGTGTGCATGTGTGTGTGTACGTGTATCTACGTGTGGATGTACGTGTGTACGCACCGGGCGAGTTGGACGCGCAGGCAGCGCAGAGTGGCGCGAGACGCGGCGTGCGTGTGCATGTGTGTGTGTACGTGTATCTACGTGTGGATGTACGTGTGTACGCACCGGGCGAGTTGGACGCGCAGGCAGCGCAGAGTGGCGCGAGACGCGGCGTGCGTGTGCATGTGTGTCTGTACGTGTATCTACGTGTGGATGTACGTGTGTACGCACCGGGCGAGTTGGACGCGCAGGCAGCGCAGAGTGGCGCGAGGCGTGGCGTGCGTGTGCATGTGTGTGTGTACGTGTATCTACGTGTGGATGTACGTGTGTACGCACCGGGCGAGTTGGACGCGCAGGCAGCGCAGAGTGGCGCGAGACGCGGCGTGCGTGTGCATGTGTGTCTGTACGTGTATCTACGTGTGGATGTACGTGTGTACGCACCGGGCGAGTTGGACGCGCAGGCAGCGCAGAGTGGCGCGAGGCGTGGCGTGCGTGTGCATGTGTGTGTGTACGTGTATCTACGTGTGGATGTACGTGTGTACGCACCGGGCGAGTTGGACGCGCAGGCAGCGCAGAGTGGCGCGAGACGCGGCGTGCGTGTGCATGTGTGTCTGTACGTGTATCTACGTGTGGATGTACGTGTGTACGCACCGGGCGAGTTGGACGCGCAGGCAGCGCAGAGTGGCGCGAGGCGTGGCGTGCGTGTGCATGTGTGTGTGTACGTGTATCTACGTGTGGATGTACGTGTGTACGCACCGGGCGAGTTGGACGCGCAGGCAGCGCAGAGTGGCGCGAGACGCGGCGTGCGTGTGCATGTGTGTCTGTACGTGTATCTACGTGTGGATGTACGTGTGTACGCACCGGGCGAGTTGGACGCGCAGGCAGCGCAGAGTGGCGCGAGGCGTGGCGTGCGTGTGCATGTGTGTGTGTACGTGTATCTACGTGTGGATGTACGTGTGTACGCACCGGGCGAGTTGGACGCGCAGGCAGCGCAGAGTGGCGCGAGACGCGGCGTGCGTGTGCATGTGTGTGTGTACGTGTATCTACGTGTGGATGTACGTGTGTACGCACCGGGCGAGTTGGACGCGCAGGCAGCGCAGAGTGGCGCGAGACGCGGCGTGCGTGTGCATGTGTGTGTGTACGTGTATCTACGTGTGGATGTACGTGTGTACGCACCGGGCGAGTTGGACGCGCAGGCAGCGCAGAGTGGCGCGAGGCGCGGCGCGGCAAGCGCGGGCAGCGGTGCGCGCCGGTACACGCAGCGCGTGCACACGCATTGACCGCAACGCCAGCAATGATGCTGGACAGTACATAGCTACATTACTTAAACTTACTCTACTTTATTAAAGTGAAAACTTCTTTAGAATCGTTGTGATTTGACACTCAATTAAACAAAAAAGCAACACCAAAAAGATACAAACATACGCATCTTTAGCATTTAACTTACGAGAGAATGAGAGAATATTAAATTAGTCATGTTTAGGCCATCTAGCGTCTATTTTACGTAAAACCTTGAAAGTCATTTAATTATTGTTCAATATAACGACTTTACTTATAAAATGAAGTAGATTGTGCTATTACAAATCAATTTTACTCGAAATAAAATATTGCTTTGATCTAATACACTAAAATTTAGGTTTTAAATATCTAAAAATAAGGATTGTAACATTAATTTTCTATAAAATTACACTATTATCGTTTATTTTATGCCGCACTTGTGGTTGAAATTTATCATATAAAACAAACCATTTACCGAGAAATATGTTTATTTTATATTACATTTCATTTGAAGATTTGCCTTTTACCACATGTGAACTGCACTCCACATGTTTATTTTAATTTATTAAAAAACGAGTGTGTGATTATGATCACACAATGGAAGTGATAACTTCTAATACATCGATTATTATTTTTGTTTAAATTATAACGAAAGGAACTGTTGGCAACCAACATCGGCCGCCCCTCTTCGTGCACAACGGAAGAGAAGTGGAAAGGGAAATGTGAAGTGGAAAGGGAAATGTATAAATTAGGGTGCATCATGATTCTTGAGCATTCTGTTTTGAGAACACGCGTCGAATTAGTCAAAGTGTAATTAAGTATCGTGATTACAAAAACTGTAATATTGAGTGCTCTGTACAAATATTAATTGAATACATATATTGTGTTATAAGTGCATATTTCTTTATAATAAATTATTTCATTGTGTTAACATCAGAAGTGGGATACAGTCCCTGTTATCGTCCACATATAGTTTTCGAATAGTGTGATAGTTATTAACTTTGTGAAAGACTTGATGTCTTTGTTTTTATTAAATGTCGAAATGAAACTTGCTGTATTTACGACATTGACATACCATTAAAGTGTAGAGTAAAAGTTTAAAGTGAAATGTTTTAAGGTAAAAGTTAAATATTTTTGTTCAATTAACATTCAATTGATAATAAGTTACCCGCAAGTACATTTATTATTCTGTTACGTAAAAATGTCAAAAAAAATGTTGGAGGTATTTTAAGATGAGTTATAGTTTTGCATTCAGTGGAAATTTAACATGCTCGAGTTATGTTATAATTTGATATTTGGTGTAATTTACATGGACTAATTTTAAAGTTCAACATGTTTAAACGATAAACCAAAAAAAAAAATGCTTAACTTGGACGTGCTATGAATTAAAAACATTAAGTAGTATTTTTGTATTCTAATGTGTTGATAAGTGTTACAGTTTAATCCAAGTGTTACGTTCGACAAAATTGGAATCTAATGTTGAGGGTATAGTGGAAGGCGTGGTGCTGTGGCGCTCGTTCTTGAGTGGAAGTATGCTGTGGGCTTATGACGCCACAGGCACATTATTTGCCGCTGCTAGCGATAAAAGGCGTAAGCGATCGCGTTCTTTGAGCTTAAAGAAATTTAAGAGACAGGACAGGCCGAAGCAAATAAAGATATTTTCAAAAACTATGAACTTTTAGGTGGTAAAGTATAAGGAAATACATCACAAGGTCGATGTTAGGTAGTACCGAAAAAGTGTATATGGCAAAATTTTTGATTGCATTTTACTGAGTGCGCAAGTCAGTACAAAATATTGGTAAAACACATAAAAAGTTAAACAAAACCGAGATAAGCATAGTTTAAATAAGCTTGTTACGTTTAAGTAAAACGAAATATCTTATTAAACGCAACTGGAATGAACTTGGTACATTTAAGTGAGACTAAATGTCCTTTAAATGCAAGTGATTCCAGGAGAAAGACGAACCTGGTCTCTTAAGTGTGACAAGTCCCTTTAAGTGCAGGTGGTCTTAAAAGTGCCGTCGAGTTTTGTAGAACTAAAAATGTGTAACCTGATTGTAACCTTTGACTATAAACTTGCGTCATGATCAGTTTATAAAAAAAAAAGATAATTGATATATATAAAACTAGTTTCTAATCAATTTATGTCTTCGCAGTATTTTAAACAGACTCGTGAGGTTCCTGAGGCAGGAACCATGCAGGATGGCAGTGTTGGCAACCAACATCGGCCGCCCCTCTTCGTGCACAACGGAAGAGATGTGGAAAGGGAAATGTATAAATTAGGGTGCATCATGATTCTTGAGCATTCTGTTTTGAGAACACGCGTCGAATTAGTCAAAGTGTAATTAAGTATCGTGATTACAAAAACTGTAATATTGCGTGTTCTGTACAAATATTAATTGAATACATATATTGTGTTATAAGTGCATATTTCTTTATAATAAATTATTTCATTGTGTTAACAGAACGATGATGTTTTCTCCATTATATTTAAGTCTCTGGAAAAAACATTAAATACTAATTGTATACGAGCTGTATATATATGTGCCAAACATACATAATATTATTGCATACCTTAAGCGCAAAGCGCATAGGTATGTTCTATTAGCGCCTAAAAATCAAGATTGCTACGTTTTGTCGCATAAAATCGTATCTAACTATCATATTGAACATATAAATGATATAAAAAGCACATTGTCAGAAAGAAAAATGATGATTGTAGAATTCAGTAATTTTTTTTTAAATCCATTAATTGCTATTTTTACATAAAAAAGTGGTTTTAATGGCTTATGCTGTAGATTTATCAAGTCCGCATGGTGTGGTAAACATGATAACTTTCGAAAATATCAATTGTTTAACTCAATATATTTTTTAGTCGCTTCATCTATCATGTGGGAGAGAACTACGTGGCTTCGCAGGTCGATGAAGTTGACAAGCGTGTAGTTGGCACTGTTACAGAATTATTAAGTGGCGAAGCTTGCGAAGTCACTTATTGATTTCACGATGTCTGTCCGTCTGTCCCACGATTATCTCGAGAACGGTTTCGAATTTTCAAATTCTGTTTTCAGCAATCGATTACTGATCACCCAGGCATCTGAACCTCCTATTTTGAAACTGATTGCTCAACGACAACCGTTAGAAACCGCTACAAAGCTGATTGCTTCGCCACTTTGCTATGCTGTTAGCTTGCTAGGTTTATTTCATTTGTGACTTTTGTTTTATCAAATTTCTACCTCGAAGTTGCAAAGTTATTAAAAAAACATCTAAAATAGGAATATTCACCTATTGATTTTGTAATCTATCTATTAATTTTAAAATACTATGTTGTTTTTTTTTTACTATGTTATTCTGGATTTTCTTCCAATTTTATGGGAAATCTCGGAGTTTTCGATAAAATTGTTATATACAAGGCGCTTTACAAACTGAAATTTGTACAAACTGGCATAAAGAAAAACTACAAAAGCCTCAATATATTACGTTTGACCTGCAAATAAACTTAATTAAAGCAACAGCAAATATATATATAATTGTTGCTCTTACTTTACCACTCAACGCAATAATGAATGAACATAACTGTAATTAAGTAAAAAATTTAAGGAAAAACACAAAAGGCATGCTACGACAATACGTTACGTTGAAATTTGAACGAAAACTTGCACGCTTGCAATTTATTTTTATTTTTTAGGTGTTGCTATTTTATAAACTTAATATTCTACTATAAACAAATCTCACAAACGAAATAATTCTGTAAGAACGCCATCTACACGATTTGTCAAGTACTATGTACTGTGTTCTAGTACGCCTTACTTGAGAAGGAGATGGGGGAGGAATAGCCCTCTCCTAAGGAGGGGCCGCCATGGGGCGGCAGGCGGTAGTGGGGTTGCGGATGTGTACGAAAGCATTTCCGTGGCCCTGCCAATATTCGACGAAGGTGGAAGACCATGGAGTTTTATTCGGTGCGAGTGCAACGTAACCCGTCCTTCCCCAGCAAGGCGCGGATGCGTAGGCACTTCCCCGTGTTAAAAAACAGAACCCTATTATACAGTATAGTATAGTATTTTTATCTAAAATATAGAACAGGATAGTAGATTCGTATAAACTTTTGAAACACTTTTAAATCGCTTTTCTAAACCAGAAGCAAGCTTAGATTGTATGTTCCATCGTATTTTATAGAGAATTAAAAAAGGGAGAATTGGTATTCGCTGAAGGTCATACAGATTTATACACCTACCTCGACACATCCCGATGAGGAGGTGGAGGAAATGTATGAGGATATCTCTAGAGCCATGCATTAATCCAAAAACCAGTATACGGTGTTAATGGGAGACTTCTACGCAAAACTAGGCACAAGAGAGAACGGTGAGCTGAAGGTAGGGAAATTTGGAATAGGGCAACGGAAACCCAAGGCGCCAGCAGCTGGCCGACTTCATGGAGAAAGAGGGACTCTTTATCATGAACTCTTTCTTCCAGAATCGGCCCCACAGGAAGTGGACCTGGTCGAGCCCCGACGGTTCGACAATAAATGAGATTGATTTCATTATGACGACCAGACGACAACTGTTCAGTGATGCCTCAGTAATCGCGAGGGTGAAAACCGGCAGCGATCACTGAATAGTGAGAGGCACACTGATCCTAAATGTTAAGTTGGAGAGGACACGTCTAATGAAGTCAACGCTCCGTCCCCCTCGTGCTCTAATCCAGAAGACCGATCCAACTACAGGCCTATCGCCATCACCTCCTTGTTCTCCAAAATAATGGAATCCATTACAAACTGCCAGCCCATGAGGTACCTTGAGGATCACCAGCTGATTAGGGACCGCCAGTACGGTTTTCGTCGGGATCGATTAGCTGGTAATCTTCTACCTGACTCATAGATGGGCAGAGGCAGTAGAGTCTAAGGGGGCATTGGCCATTAGTTTGGACATAGCGAAGGCCTTCGATCGGGTCTGGCACAAAGCGCTTCTTTCCAAGCTTCCTTCCTATGGGCTTCCCGAGAAATTGTGCAAATGGATCACCAGTTTCCTTGCTGGTCGGAGCATCAAGACATCGAGAGTAGACGGTATATGCTCTGATTTCAAGCTTATCAACGCTGGTGTTCCAAAAGGCTGCGTGCTATTACCAACGCTGTTTCTCCTGCATATCAATAATATATTGCAAGCTGGTACATTTATTGCTATGCAGGCGACAGCACTGATGATGCCTTATATACTGGCCGTGCCAATATTTCTCGGGAAGACGTCGCCGAGTACCGGGACAAACTTGTGTCTGAAGTCGAGTCTTTGCTGAACAAAGTCTCGGATTGGTGGCGACTAAATCTAGTCCAGTTCAATCCCCAGAAAACACAAGTTTGCGCGTTTACCGCTAAAAAGAACCCCTTTGTCGTATCTCCTCAGTTTCAAGGCGTCAGCTAGCTTCGGAATCCTCGGCGTCGACATTTCGAATAGTGTGCAGTTTCGTGGTCACTTGGAAGGGAAGGCCAAATTGGCCTCTAAAAAGCTTGTTGTGCTCAGCAGAGCGAGACAGTATTTCATGCTGGCACATCGCTTGCAACTTTACAAAGCGCAAGTTCGGTCTCACATGGAATACTGTTCTCATCTCTGGGCCGGAGCACCCCAGTGCCAGCTCCTTCCACTTGACCGCATCCTGCGTAGAGCGGTTCGAATCGTTGATGACCGAGTTCTTTCTGATCGGCTCGATACACTGGCACTGCGTAGGGATGTTGCATCCCTTTGCATTTTCTATCGAATTTACCACGGGGAGTTCTCTGAGGAATTGTTCGGTTTAATTCCAGCCGCCAAATTTCACGAACGCACATCGCGTCAAAATTCACGATACCATCCTCACCATCTGGATGCTTGGCGGTCCACGACTGTACGTTTTACTAGGACTTTTCTTCCTCGTACAACTTCTCTGTGGAATTGTTTACCACCGGCGATTTTCGCGGACCGATACGACTTAGAGATCTTCAAGAAAAGAGCTTACACCTTTCTAAAAGGCCGACAACGCATCTGCAACTCCCCTGGTGTTGCGGTTGTTCATGGGTGACGGTAGTCACTTACCATGAGGTGAGCCGCATGCTCATTTACTCCTCTTCTATAAAAAAAAAAACAAAAAGAACTAATGATCTTCAAACGGCTGGACCGATTTTAATAAAACATGTCTAAGAACCATTGCTAGAAAACCTGCTTTTAAATAAAAAAAACCGCACCAAAATCGGTTCATCCAATTAAGAGTTACGGTGCGCCACAGATGAACAGGACACAGACAAACAGGCACACATAGCGGTCAAACTTATAACATTCCTGTTTTTGCGTCGGAGGTTAAAAATGGAATATCTCGAAAAACGATACGTTGTCCGTGTTAAGCGTAATTTTGTACCAGTACACTCCTGGCAAAGTTAACTTCCATTGGTAAAGTTTCGAGACTTGACTGTAGATAAGAGGATGGAACCTCTTCAGACGAACTCCTAGGCAGTAAAGGAGTCCGACCAATAAATATTTCAACGTGGTAGAGCCATGCTGCAGCTATATTAGTAGTATAGTTGTAGCACGAATGTGTCGGCTCGACCGGGGAATGACCACGCTCTCACAGAACACCGGCGTAAAATAGCAGCTTAACGCTGCTGTGTTTCGTATGGTGAGTGTAGAGAACCGGAGACTGTTCATACTGAATAGGAGGCACACCACCGCGTTAGTCCGAGGACACGACGCATCTTCATTTTGATTTTTAATGGAGGATAAATGTAAATGTCTATAGGTCCACAATATCCACGTACCATTAGGTGGACTGTGTGCTCGTTTGTCACCGTTACTGTATAAAAGAAATAGTCACACAATATAACTTACCTTTCGACTGTAGTGGTCGAGGGGCGTTGAACAACTGCACTCGGTCACGTTCTTGACGCTTTTCCAATCTAACGCCACCGTGTTCACTTCGCTCTCTAGCTGCGAGAAACTCGCTGGGATCGAGTCCACCGCCCTCTATCAAAAATAGTTTTTAAATCGAAACTTGTTTTGTGCCAAGAAATTTTACAGTACATGAGCAACCCCGTTCGTTCCCCGCGATCAAACTGTTAATTGCAATAAATTTAAGCGTAGATTTCTTACGCGTTTATTTGTGAAAGAGTGCATCAATCAGAGACGCGCGCCCAACAATGACGTGTAATGACAATTGACTGTCTCATTGGTATAAAGCACAGTTGCGGAGCTGGAATTTTTTATTGCTTTGCATTTTTAAACCTAATTCGCATCATAAAAAGTTTTATTTCTATTGCTATTATTCTATTAAATTATAGTTTTAGGTCCTTTTCAACAGTATTTGTGATTCGAAAACCGAGTTCATCTCAAGTTATTATAGTTTACATTTGTATGAATTGCAATATTTTGAAATTCTTCCTGCTCCGCGCTCACGCGATAGTCGTAAGTGCGACTGCTGATCATACGATCCCGACCCGAGCCAAAATAAGTTTTTTTTTTTCTGTGAAAAAATTATCAGTATCAGCACGAAGACAGGAAGTTGGAGGTTTTTCACCCCCGTGCCTCGGAAAATACAAGAAAGCTGTTGGTCCTGCACTTAATCTCTCATCCGGTCGGATATCCGTCCCATTGGACTATGAGAATGAATGAATAGAGCACCTTTGCTTGCGCACACACTCGTGCACTGTTAAACCTGTTAAACCCGCTGTGACCATAATCCGATCAGGAAGACATTATTATTATAATTAATGTCTGTAACTTTGTGTATTGCCGTTTTAAGTACTACAAATATTATATAACTTTTAAAATTCAACATCCGCTAATCAATTCAATCAGTGGGACTATATAGATCAGGGACTCCCAAAGTGGTCGATATCGTCGTCTAGGGATCGAAGTCAATTTCCCAGGAGTCGACATAAACGAAAATTGATTTTGGGGGTCAACGAGGTCTAAAAATCGAGCCCTATTAATTAACACAAGTTCTTCAAGATACTGTATAAGTTGTGTTACATGTACCAACTTATTATAAGAATAACTAATATTTTAGTGAAATATATATTATTGTAAGACATTTACTGAATTTTATGTCTATTTATTTTGTTAAATTTTGATGGGAAAATTATGTCAAGTTTAACCAACCGCAAAACTTCTAAATTAGTAAGTATTTTGTATCAATAGGAAAAATCTAAATATAGGATTTGTAAAGTAATTTGGCTATGGGCTATGGGGTCTGAGTTATCAGTTCATTTTACAAAAGGGGGTCTCTTGCCCAAAATAGTTTGAGAATCGCTTATCTATAATAAGACGGTCGAAGCTATTATGTCTTCGCTTTCAGAAAGATTCGATTTGTGACAGACCCGTATAAGCACGGTGTTTATACGGATCTGTCACATTGTTTCATGTTGATTTGAGATCCGCCACAGCCACCAGATCTAAGAGTATAGTAATTATACACGGTACTAGATGAAGTTACGAAGGGATAACACAAGAACGAGTCGATGAATGCAGGAATGATTGGTGGCAGTCTTTGTCAGATAATGATACGGAATTACGGTAATCTATGGAGGAAGCCTATATTCACCAGCGAACTATGTCTGTCATCACGTTCACTACACCGTGACCCATATATGGATCATTGTTAGTGTGTTACTATTGTGTCTCGTCTTAAACCGGACAGTGGATGTATATTTATTAAAGTTAAGATTTTGAAAGTAATTTAAAAGTAAAAAACAATAATTTTATAGAAAGAGCTATAGAATATAGTGTAACTGACGTCAAAGTTTTTAATAAAATAATCATCTCATTTATATATTTTAAAACCTAAAAGTCTAATATAACTTTGAATGGAAACCTCGTCAAATTTGTAAAATATTACTGAAAATAGCAAGTTCTACATGATTTAGTCATATATTAATGGTGTTGCCAACTACCGAATTAAAGTAATTTTTTTTTTGATTCAAAGTAACAGTTAAAGACTGGCAAAAGTCCACTGAATATAGGCCTCAATCATAGTTAGTCTGATAGGTGGGATATTTGCCATAGTTGCCACGCTTGGCAGACGGGATGGCAACCACAGTTTTATTATTTTCTACGCTGCTGCCCATCTCCTGGTTTATTTCCCTCTGTCGTCTCTTACGACACGCATGGGACGAAATGGGGTAGTGGATATTCTTACAGCGCCACTACGCGGTGATTCAAAGTGTATAAGATATTACCTCTGTTATCAGGGGTATGTTGTTGGGCTTGGTGACAGTGACGAGGCCTTCCTTGAGCGGATGGTCGTGGTTCGCGCACTCTAGCTCCGAGAGGCCGCCACCGGACTCGTACAGCAGTCTGAAAGCAAACTTCATTACAAGACTTTTATACTTGGTAATGGCTCTACCACGTATAAAAGTCACAGAATACCAGCGTAAAGTAGCAGTTTAACATGGCTGTGTTACGTATGGTGAGTGTAGAGAACCGGCGACCCTTTTTACTGGAAAATAGGCATTCCATCTTAGTCCTCACGGGTGACAACGCATCTACATTTTGATTCTTTATTGGCGATAGATGTAGATGTCTGTGGATCACAGCAACCACTTACACTTACCATCTGGTTGACTGTGTGCTCATTTGTCACCCTATCCTATAAAAATATGCCAACTGGACTAAAAAACTTGCAACATTTACTTAAAATCAACACGCTAAATGCACAAAATAAATAAATAAAGAGAGTACAGAACTCAGGCGCTGTATATGAATATAGTGCGCTCTAGAAACGCACATATAGATATCGTTTACAGACACGGAAATCGTCTCCAAATGTATTGTATAAAATAAATTTTAAACTAAAATTATATTTATTCTATATAATAAGGGTGAAAACGAGCACACAGTCCACGTGATGGCAAGTGGATAATGAGGCCAATAGACATCTATCCTCGATTAAGAATTAAAATGCAGATGTGTGGTCACCTCTGAGGACTAATTTGGAATATCTCGTTTCCAGTTAAAAAGGTTTCCGATTCTCTATCAACATACGAATGTCCAACAATAACAATATCACCAACTATCAATCACCATGCGTTGTCAGCATTCTGCATTTTGATTTTAATCGAGGCTAGATGTAGATGTCTATGGTCTACAGCATCCCCTTACCATCAGGTAGACTGTGTGCAGGACCCATACAAGAATGTTAGTAAAAGTGAAGTGATTATGTGGACTATCGCGGTTTTATGTTATATTTAGACTCTAAAAGAGGGAGTGGAATGGAAATAACATACTTGTTGTCAATTTGCAAGTTTTCTGTTTTCGTTTCAATGTCGACCGTATCAATGTTGCCATTTTGATAGTTGACGACGGCCGACTCTATGCCCTTCTCTGCTTTCTTACCCGATAGAAGATTCCTGAACGTTGATATTCTCTGTGGAAATATGGAAATAATTTTAATTTAATAGCAATGACTTTTAAAGTCCTTAAGCGGATTCAATCCACGCCGGGACCAACATAATTGTCAAATACAATCATCATCAATAAATCTTATCATCGTGCTCAGCAGTGAAGGAAAATATCGTGAAGGATACCTCGTTACCAGTAAAAACGGTCTCCGGTTTGTACACTCACCATACGAAACACAATAGGAACTAGTTTATTCTGTGAGAGCGTGGCGCTTTCACGGTCGAGCTGACACAGTCTTACTACAAACATAATATAGCTGAAGCATTGCTCTACCACGTAGAACTCACGTATGCTAGTTTGCATATTACCGAGTTAATAAATAAGTTGAAGTGTCCATGGACTACTGTAGCCACTTGTCAGGTGGAATGTAATATCGCAGTACAATTTAAAAAAATGTATCAAGTTTATTGTAACATGTTTATCTTCTGTGTATGTTTGTGGTTGCCTGGAAGAGATCGCTTCTAAGCGATAAAGCCTTCAGTTGTACTTTGTTTTTTTTACTATTTTTTTTTCAAGTTTATTGGTGTACAATAAACTTTGTTCATTCGTTCATTCATTGTTGGTGTATTGGCGCACAATGTGGCTATGTTGGTATTGCACTGTGTGCGGTCGAAATTTAGCGAGGGAGTTGATGTAGTTGCCTGGAAGAGATCGCTTCTAAGCGATAAGGCCGCACTGTTGTACTTTGTTTCTTTTTTATTTTATTTTTATGTTAATTGGTGTACAATAAAGTATGTTCATTCATTCATTGTCGGTGTATTGGCGCACAATGTGACACTTCCTTGGCGCAGTGGCTTAGCAATGAGTTGTAGCGGTGAGTGCCGTCGGTTCGAATCCCGCACGGAACAAGTATTTGAATGGCGTACAAATAATTGTTCTGAATCTGAACGTTTGTCCTTGTGAAATTTATGTATGTAAACTGCCTCAATGATAGAGGCAAAAATTTTAGAGTGGAGGTAACCGTTACCGTTACAGCCTATTAAAGTTTACTGCTGAACATTGGCGTCCCCCATAGATTGCTTCATAAGTGGGATATTTGCCATAGTTGCCACGCTTGAAAAGCGCGTTGACAATCGTCGTTTCTATTTTTAGTAGTTATTAAGGAGACGCTAGAGATCTATCTTCTGATTTGTTTCCCTCTGTCGCCTCTTACGACCCCCACGGGACGACATGGGGTAATGGATAGTCTTACACTGCCACTGCACGGTAAAGGGTGAAGGTAACGTTTAATAGGCCCTATACACCATCGGCCATGATGGACGAATACTAGCGATCACGATCGTGTGGAGGGCATGATTGCCTACGATCGCCCATGATCGGTTATGATCGAGCGTAATGGTTGCTGTGTCGGTTTTTCAGACAAACATCAAAGGAAGTTCGACCATGATCGTGCGCGCGTCTTCATGATTGCCGAAAACTTAGCTTGATCTATTTCGGTGTATAGTTAACATACATCGAAATAAAACAAGTTAAAGTAGAACAACTTCCCCTGTTTCACCAATCCGTTATGGTCTACATTTCAATAATACTCGTAGTTATAATATTATATTAAAATAAATAGCGGCAACTGCTACTGTTTCAACGTCCACCTCGGACAGATGACAATACAAATATGTAGGATGCACGCTCGTGTGGGCCGGCCGCGCAATGATTACGACAATCATGCTCCATTTTGTGGTTGTCAATAATGGCCGATGGTGTATAGGCGGGGTAAGAAAGAATATAGCAGTGCGTGCAGTGTGTGCGGTGGAACCTTAGCGAGGTAGTTGACATGGTGGTGCAGCGCGGCGGCGTGGTCCGCGGCGGCCGGCAGCACGTCGTGCAGCGCCTCGCGCGGGTGCACGCCGCCCTCGTGCCGGCAGTACATGCCGCGCCAGAACCTGCGCACAAGCGCGCCCGACACAACCTTCACTCTAACTGTTAACGCTTACACTTCGTTGTCATTGTTACACGACAAGCTAAACACCTTGTCGCGCTAAAACGTGCACGCGAAAATCTACCTTAATACATTGCATTAAGAGCTATGATTGACTGTCGTTGGCAAATTAAACATCTATCTTTTAATCATTCACATTACATGTGGGTTTTATTAACATGGTAAAATATTGTAAGTATATTCGTAGAGTAATTATAATAGTTTTCATTTTCTGATTGTCATTTCGATGATACTATTGTTTTGTCGCTATTTAACCACGTTGATGGCCGTATGATCCCTACCTACGATCGCTTTGCCTTCCCTGCACGGGAAATATTACAAAACAAGTAACGCCAACAAATATTTGGCATTCTTTCCAAGGCAATTGCTTGTATTTTTACTACAGACGATTATAGTACTAATAAATATAACAATATTGTATTCAAGTCAAATATTTGCAGTTTTTAAGTTATTCGCTGGAATTTAAAAAAAAACGAACTATAGGTTGACATTTCAGCTACTTTCGAATGATTTATAAAAATAATAATTTTGTTACAAGGATTCCGAATATATAAAATAAAACTCCATATAGACAGAAAAATTACTACACTGTTTGGAAACTAACGAGCGAACGGCTTACCAATAAACAACTGCAACACCGGGAGAACCGCAGGTCCCGTCTTTTAAACAGGTGGTAAAATTAAAAAATTTGTACAACCGACTTCAATATAAATTATTAAAGATAACTCAAAAACTATTTGTCAGACCTTAATTTATATGGGATCACACGAGAAGTACCAGCTTTCAAATTAAAAAAAAGAATCATCAAAATGGGTTCACCTAGAAAAAAATTATGAGATAACACACATTAAAAAAAAACAGGCGAATTGAGTTCCTCCTCCTTTTTGAAGTCGGTAGAAAAGAGTAGGCTTTTTTCTTAAAGGTCCCTACGTCGTATCGGTCCAAAAGAAACTGTACCTTATACTTTGCGCACTAAGGTCCGGCTTAAGGATATCGGGGTGAGCTTTGGGATTGTAAAGTGGATTCTTGTACTCGTTCAGATGGCTCGCCATGTAGCCCCACAGCGAGAACGTGCGTTCTGACAGTCTGAAAACAAATATTTAAACGTTTTTTTCTTTTTTCTTTTTCTATTTTTAAAAACATAATCACTGTATACATATTTCACTCATTCATTCATTCAATCTTTCATTAATTCATTACAGCTCATCACATGTCCACTGCTTAACATAGGTCTACCCCGTATATTGCCTCACAAGGTTAGAGTTAGCAACCGCAGGTTTTTATTATTATTGAGTTTTTATGATGTGGCTGCCCACCTCCTGTTTCAATTTCCTTCTACGAGTATCGCCTCTTACGCTGTAACTGCACGACATACATATTAAAACACATTGTAAGTACTGTTTTTACAAAACCAAGTGACATACGAACTTACAGTTCGCCTGATAGTAAGTGGCTACTGCAGTCCGTGAACATGCAGATGCTATGCAGCCAACTTCAAAAAAAAAAAAGAAAACTACAAATGCGTGGCCACCATCGATCACTAATTTATTATTGATCAATGGTTGCCACCTCTGAAGACTAAAATGTATTATGCCTCACAGCATTCAATTAAACTAGTTCTCTACCCCTTAGATTGAAACACAGCAGTGCAAGCACCGCTATTTGGCGGCAGAAAATGGTAACAGGGTACTACCCCCTTAAAGTGATTCCTTATATTTATGCAAATGCAACACATTGTATAAAACTATATGAATATAAAGTATATATACGTGGTAGAGCCATGCTGCAGCTATATTAGTAGGATAGTTGTAGCACGAATGGGTCGGCTCGACCACGCTCTCACAGAATACCAGCGTAAAATAGCAGTTTGACACTGCCGTGTTTCGTATGGTGAGTGCCTCTGGCAACCGGAGACCCTTTTTACTTGAAAAGAGGCATTCCATCTGCATTTTGATTCGCAAGCGAGGATAAATGTAGATGTCTATGGGTCACAGCAACCACATACCATCAGTTGGACTGTGTGCTCGTTTGTCACCCTTATTCTATAAAAAAAAAAACTTATTTTACGGAGTTTATCGCGTTTCATTTAAACTATTAATTATCGACGTTTCAAGCACTTTACATCAACTATAGTAAGGAGGGCGAAGTCCAGTTGGTAACTACCCAGAATTGTTCCTAGGTAAAAAAGGAGCCCTACTATCTCTTAATAATTACTTAAACATACTTATAATGGCAGAACCGTAGTAGCTCATGGAATAAAAACTCGGATTAAATTTCAATATACGCGAGTAACGCTATATACGATTCTAGACGGTACTAATTAAATTAAGTCAATTACAGTTTTAAGTGCTAATTCAACGAGTTTTTACTCGATTAAGGAAGAGACAAGTTCAAGAATTAAAAAAATAATTCAAGTACATGTGAAGTTCTAAAAAAAAAACACATTGTGGCCTCTTCTCTGGTCCAAAGCGTGTGCAGTGGGACGCTTATAATCTGTTACTTTACATTACATTTTTTTTTTCTTATAACAACCATTTCATATAAATGACAACTTGCGGTAACTAAGAGAAGTTTACACTTGTAAAACTGCCTCAAAACACAGAAACGATGATATTTAAAAAGCATCAATTCGTAATGCACAAACAAAACATCGTTAATATCGTCCGTGACAGCGAAACAAATAAGAAGTGTATTTACAAGTACCAGACAAGAAGCTAAAGTTAAGAAAGAAAGAAGTTTACGTTATTTACAGATCACCATTACGTTTTCAATTATGACACATGAATAACGACGCCTATAATTTTCAAATTATTAAATGCAATCATACACACAAATAAACTACACAAGTGATGGTTTACGATTTATTTACACCTAATAATTTTTTTTATTGTGAATCTTACCTTAGATCTCTCCTATCTTTCTCGCAATTGCCAATGAATGTGCCGTATTGACAAGCGTGCGCATGGTCATGTAGGGTCAGCAGAAACCGCTCATTGAATTGGAATGCCTGTAATAAAAAAATTGCAACAAATTGTTTAAGAAATTAAGATAGATACGAAATTCAGTGTGGAGATGGTTATACGTGGTAGAGCCATGCTGCAGCTATATTGGTAGTATAGTTATAGCACGAATGGGTCGCCTCAACCGAGGAAGGACTACGCTCTCACAGAATACCAGAGTAAAATAGCAGCTTAACACTGCTGTGTTTCGTATGGTGAGTGTAGAGAACCGGAGAGCCTTTTTACTGGAAAAGAGGCATTCCATCTTAGTCATTACGGGTGACAACACACCTGCATTTTGATTCGCAAACGAGGATAAATGTAGATGTCTATGGGCCACAGTAACCAATTACCATCAGGTGGACTGTGTGCTCGTTTGTCACCCTATTCTATAAAAAAAAAGGTTTGATCTCTTCTGGCAAATCGTTGCTAAACTGCCAGCGTATCTGCCCGCAAGACCTTAAGTTAAAGTTATCTAAAGCCAATAGTATAAAAAGCGACAACGGATTGATTTCTACGTGGTGCGCCGTTACCAAATCGCGTGTTTCTTTCCATGCAATCAGGGCTCGGAAACCGGTTGAAATTCTAAACCGGTTTCGGTCATTGACCCCAAAACCGGTTTTTGCGGAATACCGGTTTTTCACAAATTTCGGTTTAGGTAGTAAGAATTAACCGGTTAAAGCCAAGTTTTGTAATGTCCCCCTCTCCCTTACCCCACTTGCACCCATCTTTGTACGGCTGCCTCTGTTTAATTCCCGAGGTTTTTAGACACATGCACGATATATTCATTGCATCAACGCGACTGCCTTGTGACGTACTCCCTCATATTTTTTCATCTTTCAGCAACGTTAGTATTATAAATAACAGATATAAGTTCTGTTTCAATTAATTATGCGTTATCTTCACTTTAAAATTAAGTTTCGATATCAAGTTTAATTTGACGTTTATATATTTAAATTGACTTCAACTATATTTAACGTTTTCTATTAAAATTATGCTTTGCATCTTTATTTCAATGTCATTAGTTTTAGTAATATATCGCAATAAATGATGAACTTTCTTAACAAAACACAATATTTTTAAAAGTATGAAATTATATGTTATAGTATTTTTGTTCTTTTTAGGACTAAAGTGAGTCAGATTACCAGATTTTTTTAAACTCAGAAGCTCCTAATTACGACCAACGTCTATCTCCGTCTTTGCAAAATTAATAATGACCACTTCTGAGGTGTAAAGTTTAACTAGAAGTCATGTCTAAACATGATAAAAAATTATTTATTATATTCAGAGAATTCTAACAAAAGAAATTACCATTTTTCACATCTCATTAATGAGGAATTGGAGCAAATCTTATCATGTTGTGCGTACAAGATGCTAATAAAAATATTAGCTTTTCTAAATAGAGTGCAAGGTAATCACATAGACGAAATTAAATTAACTGATACTGAAATTAATAAAGAAAAATAATTTGAATCTAACGAATCATTTTGATTAAATTCGGCTGTACTTTGCTGTCGACTGTAAACAAATACACACACTAAAAATCCTGCCTTTTATTTAAAGTAATTATTAATAACTCCCAATTAACTAGATCATCAGTATAAATCACACTGATATCTACGATCATGTATTGAATTATAAAAGAGAATTATTAAAAGTGCAGCCAAGTTTTCTGACGCCTCAAGATCAAAATAATATAGTAATCACTTTCGAATTTTTTACAAACTTTCATACTTTACGAATACGAAACTATTCAAATAAATAAAATTGAAGTGTCTGTTCGTAACGTCAAAATAACAGATTTTCACTAAATACATATCATGAAAGTATATAATTTTGTCTATCTGTATGTGGTTACTAGCGCGACTGTGAATTATGATTTGGTCCTGGGCTTAAATCGTGTCCCAGGTCGTGCCAAGTACCGTTATTGGATTAATTTGGGTATAATCAGTGTTCTAGAAACCACACTGATAGTCGTATTGAGCCCTCAATCAAGCACTTAGATTTTTGGGTTTTCTCGTCATACGTTTTCTATAGAAAAGGGGGCAAACGAGCATGCGGGTCACGTGATGGTAAGTGACTACTGCCACCCATGAACAACCGCAACACTAGGGGAATTGCAGGTGCGTTGCCAGCCTTTAAGAAAGGAGTGAGCTCTTTTCTTGAATGTTCCTAAGTCGTATCGGCCCGGGAAAATCGCCGATGATTAACAATTCCACAGAGAAGTTGTGCGAGGAAGAAAACTCCTAGTAAAACGCATAGTGGTGGCCCGTCAAACATCCAGATGGTGAGGATGGTATCGTGAATTTTGACGCGATGTGCGTTCCTGAAATTTGGCGGCTGGAATTAAACCGAACAATTCCTCAGAGCACTCCCAGTGGTAAATTCGATAGAAAATGCACAGAGATGCAACATCCCTACGCAGTGCCAGTTAATCGAGCCGATCAGAAAGAATTCTGACGTCGAAGACCCGAACCGCTCTGCGCTGGATGCGGTCAAGTGAAAGGAGCTAACACTGGCGTGCCCCGGCATAGAGATGAGAGGCCGAATTTGCGCTGTGTAAAGTTGCAAGCGATGTGTCGACATGAAATACTGCCTCGCTCTGCTGAGCACGCCAAGCTTTTTATAGGCCAATTTGGCATTCCCTTCCAAGTGACCCCAAAACTGCACACTATTCGATATGTCGACGCCGGGGATGCCGATGCTAGTTGAAGCAGCAAGGGGAGTGCCTTAAAACTGAGGAGATACGACACAGGGGTTCTTTTTAGCGGTATACGTGCAAATTTGTGTCTTCTGGGGATTGAACTGGACTAGATTTAGCCGCCCTTAATCCGAGACTTTGTTCAGCAAAGAATCGACATCAGACACAAGTTTGTTCCGGTAGCGCCGGGACTACGCGCTAGCTGTAATTTTCACAGTACGTGAGAAACTCGGGTTCGATCCCCGCCGGCACCAATGAAATTATTCATTGCAATTTTAAGTGCCGATTTACCACGGGCTCGGCGGTGAAGGAAAACATCGTGATGAAACCTGCATGTCTGAGAAATAAAAAAATATATTTCGAAGACATATGAAGTTCGCCAACAAGCATTGGGGCAGCGCGGCGGACATTTACTTGCCCTAAAACCCTCTCAGAAATAAGAGGAGGCTTGTGCCCAGCCGTGGGACGTATAAAGGCTGCAACTTTACTTTTGTTCCGGTACTCGGAGACGTTTCCCGAGAAATATTGGCACGGCCGGTGTATATTGCATCACCAGTGCTGTCGTTGTTACCAGTTTGCAAAATATTGTTGATATGCAGTAGAAACAGCGTTGGTGATAGCACGCAGCCTTATGTAACACCAGCGTTAACAGGCTTGTAATCAGAGCATGCACCGTCTACTACGACCTTGATGCTCCGATCAGCAAGAAAACTGGTGATCCAATTGCACAATTTCTCGGGAAGCCTTTAGGAAGGGAGCTTCGAAAGAAGCGCTTTGTGCCAAACCCAATCGAAGGCCTTCGCAATGTCCAAACTAACGGCCAATGCCTACCTCTTGGACTTTACTGCCTCCGCCCATATATGGGTTAGATAGATCAACTGATCAACCCCGACGAAAACTGTTTATAATAGATTCCATTATTTTGGAGAACAAGGAGGTGATGGCGATAGGCCTGTAGTTTGAAGGGTCTGAGCGGTCGCCTTTTTTTAGGAATCGGGTGACCCAAATCTGTCTTCCATGAATTTGGGATAACGCCTTAGTAGTAGAAGTACCGGAAAAGACGCGTTAAAACAGGTTCCAACTTCGGAGCATACGTCTTCAGCACAATGGAAGGGAACCGAGAGCTGTATAAGCCGCACATCTGGCATGGATCACTCAAACCGCGGGATGGTCGGCGGTGTATTCTTCCGTTATCGAGAGTCGAGTTGGACGCAAAAAGAGAGATTAACAAATCGGCTTTCTCCTTTGTGGCATGGACTCAGTGAGTCACCCTCTCTTTACAGAGATGGCTGACAGAAGTTCCCTTGGACAGCCTTAGCAAGAGACCAGAATGCACGGGTTACCGAAGGAAGGCGAACTAGCCTCTCACCAACTCCGCTGATGTGCTCTGACCTTGCCTTGGCAATGAATTTTGAAGAACCTGGAGGCGGAATCATACTTCTTTTGAAGAGCGCTGGTGTTTACATCTCGATACATCAACGTCTCGGAATGTAAAGATGTCTCGGAATGTAAAGATGTCGTCAGCCCAGTGCTGGTAGCAGGTATATGAGCGACCAAACTATGGCTGGAATCTGCCTCCGATGGGCACCACAGAAGATGGAATAAAAATTTCCATATCCTCAAGTACCATATCAGCAACAGAAGCAGCAACATTGCTGGGATTGTCCAGCGAGAAGCAAATTCGCCCTGAAGGGTAGAATGCAAAAAAAAGACCGCATCCTTTCCCAATCGGCCAATCTATAGCGCCAAACACGGCGGCTGCCTGCAGGATGCAACCGCGAAGATAGTGTGACACCACCCTCCGGATAAGACAATGGCCCTAGGAGCCGTGAGGGGTGTCGACGGAAACCTGATATCCGTCCGGATAAGAGGTCAGCAGAAGTTCCAACAGGGAAGGCACATGATCCTCCACATCTGGAATCCGCGTAGGCAAAGTAACCAGCTGTGCAACCATATGCCAAGGCAAAGTCATAAACGAATTTCCCCACATGATCGGTTAAATGTGAACCGAGCAATTCGGCGTGATGGTCGTTAAAATCGCCAAGTACACGATCTCTGCGGATATTCCCCCCCCCCCCTTCCCCCGTATACCAAAATACGCGGGGCAGCTTGAGCACACATGCTCAGGAACAGTAGGGTAGCTTGGGCGTGGGTGCTCAGCGAAGGATTCTCCGTCACCAGGATTCTGGTACCCCCCTGGGGTAGTTTTTTATTTGATTCCGCTACCATATTTTAAGGGGGGGGGGGTTTTCGTCCTACGCAGAAGTAAACTTCTACTTCACGCTTGTATTCTGTGAGGTCGTGGTACTACCCTGGTTCGAGCTGGGCCATCCATGCGATAGCAAAAGCTGCCGCGTGGCTCTATCACCGTTAAAACGTAAACATGGAATAAATTCTATTTATTTTTTTTCTGCCCATCATAAATAAACAACCGATACACAAGAATAAATTATTTTCTTCATTATGAGACAAGTCCAGTTTTAACCAATAAATCGAACACAATAACTGCCTTTCTTTCTTCAAAACTTCTCTAATACTTTCACGTTTTTCGTAAACGCCAAACTCCCACTACACACCCTGATCGCGACTAAAACAATGTAAAGGCAGATAATTGATAAGTGTGCCCGCATGCGGCGATGCCGCATAAGTACCTCACAACGTGAATCTACCTGTCCTATTCATAACTGCCTTTACGTTTTACGGAATTAACCGGTTAATTTGGGTATCGAAACCGTAAAGTAACCGGTAACCTTTATCGTTTAGATTTAATAAAAACCGGTTAATTTTTTAACCGGTAATTGAAGGAGCGATAAATTTACCGGTAATTAATCGAAATTAACCGCTCTTTTTAAACCGGTTCCGAGCCCTGCATGCAATGTTAATGGTAAGCAAATCAACACGTCCTTGAACTGCTATATCTCTTAAACGCACCAACGAACCATGTCAGTTTTATACTGTGCGTATAGCTACTGTGCATAGTATCATATTATCCTACAATCAGCCATGTTAATGATCGTTTAGTTTACTAAATCATGACACGTGTTTTAAAGACGCAATCCTACTCACATAAGTGATCTTACAAGCCATCGATACTAAATCAGCCATCCTAATAACAGTTAAGTCAATCCGTTGTCGCCTCTGAGAATACAATATTATACGCACATATTAGATAGCCCGCATGCAACTACAAAATAGTTTTGTGGACGTGGCTACCTAACTTGGGATGTTATTATTTTGCGTTTTAAATTAATGTTCTACGATTATTTTATTTAGGCTTTATAACGTCGTGTTGTAAGAAAATAAACGTAATAATATGGAATAAAAATAAATAAAGTAGTAATATGGAAGTTAAAAGTGAATATGGAAAATGCCAAAAAGCACTTCGGGCGAAATCCATTTTGTACTATTATTTCAAACGATAGATAATCTAGGAGCAGCAAGCCCGTGGCAGTTAATCTCTAGGCAAAGATCATTAATAAAAGTTACAAGTAACACTCACTTCCCATAAGGTAGATTGTGTGCCCGAGGCATATTCAGCGGTGGACTTATCGCGATTTCCATTCATCCATCCATTACAGCCTTAAGTCTACTGAATCTGGGATTTTGCCATAGCTGCCAGATTTCGCAGGCAGGTTGGCAACCGCAGTTTTTTATTATTTTGAGTTTTTATCAGGAGGATGTTTCTGTTTATCTTATTTACGTTCCCCTCTGTTGCAATTTACGATATCCGCAGGGATATTTCCACACCGTCACTAGACGTTTAACACCTAGATCGTGAAGGAGAATTTACATGTTTGGGTGATAAACGTATTTTAATTAACGTTTAAGATTTTTATTAATCCACAAGTAATTGCGCCACGCGATACGTCACAGCCCTCACTCAACATAGCGAATTCTTTGATCTTTTAGCTATCGAGTGGTGTAATTAAAATGTTTATGCAGATGGTAGATGTGTAAGCTGGAATACCAAAGTGTATACTGCAATATGGAAGCAAATTTAAAAAGGTATTATAAAACGAGCAGGTGTGTAGACCTCGGGCGCCTGGCGCAGCAGCTGCCAGGTGCAGTCCAGCAGCTGCGTGAACACGGGCGAGCGCTCGCGCCCGTCGCTCGCCACGTGCCCGCAGCGGCACGAGAACTTGTGCCCGAACGACAGCCAGTCCTTCTCGATCAGCGCCTGTGCCGGGATTTCGATTTACTCCTCGAGTATATTACTCTAGCTGTATTATGTCTGTTACAATCAATGAAAATAATTAAAAAAAATTCTAGTGAGATTTACTCTACAGTAAATAAAATAAAATTTTCGTAAATGATAGACAAAAGTAATTATATTTTTATTTCTTTAAAATTCTCCCTTGATGTACTCCTTCGAATTGTAAATTTAAAAAACTGCTCTAATGTCTTTTCTTTTCTGCATGTTTAGTCAACTGACCAGACATCTGTAAATCGTCATTTCTAGTAACCAACTCGTTCAAATTGATTCGTCATACGAAACGAGTCATTCGAATCGATCATTCAAATGGAACATTGTGAGTTTCAATTAATTGTGATCTGTGAGACCCAATCGGTTCCTCTTCCCGTTTGTCTTCTACTTCTTTTTACCGTTTATATTTATTGCATTGTGTACTGATTTTCTTTTTAGTTTAGTATAGTTTGGTCGAAGCGACTAAAACATTTATTTTGAATAAAATTATTATATTTAAATTTATTTTGAATTCAAATACACATGAATTTACTTTCGAAGCGATTGTACAAAGTGAAAATGTTTTATCCCAGCAGTGCAGGCAGTGCAAGTAGTGGTGGGGCACCTGGTATCCGTTGATGGTGCGGTAGTGGGGGTCGAGGCAGAGCGCGGCCAGCGAGCAGGCCTGCGCCGTGCGGTCCCAGCCGTCGCTGCAGTGCACGCACACGTACACAGTGTAGGTAGTGGTGGGGCACCTGGTATCCGTTGATGGTGCGGTAGTGGGGGTCGAGGCAGAGCGCGGCCAGCGAGCAGGCCTGCGCCGTGCGGTCCCAGCCGTCGCTGCAGTGCACGCACACGTACACAGTGTAGGTAGTGGTGGGGCACCTGGTATCCGTTGATGGTGCGGTAGTGGGGGTCGAGGCAGAGCGCGGCCAGCGAGCAGGCCTGCGCCGTGCGGTCCCAGCCGTCGCTGCAGTGCACGCACACGTACACAGTGTAGGTAGTGGTGGGGCACCTGGTATCCGTTGATGGTGCGGTAGTGGGGGTCGAGGCAGAGCGCGGCCAGCGAGCAGGCCTGCGCCGTGCGGTCCCAGCCGTCGCTGCAGTGCACGCACACGTACACAGTGTAGGTAGTGGTGGGGCACCTGGTATCCGTTGATGGTGCGGTAGTGGGGGTCGAGGCAGAGCGCGGCCAGCGAGCAGGCCTGCGCCGTGCGGTCCCAGCCGTCGCTGCAGTGCACGCACACGTACACAGTGTAGGTAGTGGTGGGGCACCTGGTATCCGTTGATGGTGCGGTAGTGGGGGTCGAGGCAGAGCGCGGCCAGCGAGCAGGCCTGCGCCGTGCGGTCCCAGCCGTCGCTGCAGTGCACGCACACGTACACAGTGTAGGTAGTGGTGGGGCACCTGGTATCCGTTGATGGTGCGGTAGTGGGGGTCGAGGCAGAGCGCGGCCAGCGAGCAGGCCTGCGCCGTGCGGTCCCAGCCGTCGCTGCAGTGCACGCACACGTACACAGTGTAGGTAGTGGTGGGGCACCTGGTATCCGTTGATGGTGCGGTAGTGGGGGTCGAGGCAGAGCGCGGCCAGCGAGCAGGCCTGCGCCGTGCGGTCCCAGCCGTCGCTGCAGTGCACGCACACGTACACAGTGTAGGTAGTGGTGGGGCACCTGGTATCCGTTGATGGTGCGGTAGTGGGGGTCGAGGCAGAGCGCGGCCAGCGAGCAGGCCTGCGCCGTGCGGTCCCAGCCGTCGCTGCAGTGCACGCACACGTACACAGTGTAGGTAGTGGTGGGGCACCTGGTATCCGTTGATGGTGCGGTAGTGGGGGTCGAGGCAGAGCGCGGCCAGCGAGCAGGCCTGCGCCGTGCGGTCCCAGCCGTCGCTGCAGTGCACGCACACGTACACAGTGTAGGTAGTGGTGGGGCACCTGGTATCCGTTGATGGTGCGGTAGTGGGGGTCGAGGCAGAGCGCGGCCAGCGAGCAGGCCTGCGCCGTGCGGTCCCAGCCGTCGCTGCAGTGCACGCACACGTACACAGTGTAGGTAGTGGTGGGGCACCTGGTATCCGTTGATGGTGCGGTAGTGGGGGTCGAGGCAGAGCGCGGCCAGCGAGCAGGCCTGCGCCGTGCGGTCCCAGCCGTCGCTGCAGTGCACGCACACGTACACAGTGTAGGTAGTGGTGGGGCACCTGGTATCCGTTGATGGTGCGGTAGTGGGGGTCGAGGCAGAGCGCGGCCAGCGAGCAGGCCTGCGCCGTGCGGTCCCAGCCGTCGCTGCAGTGCACGCACACGTACACAGTGTAGGTAGTGGTGGGGCACCTGGTATCCGTTGATGGTGCGGTAGTGGGGGTCGAGGCAGAGCGCGGCCAGCGAGCAGGCCTGCGCCGTGCGGTCCCAGCCGTCGCTGCAGTGCACGCACACGTACACAGTGTAGGTAGTGGTGGGGCACCTGGTATCCGTTGATGGTGCGGTAGTGGGGGTCGAGGCAGAGCGCGGCCAGCGAGCAGGCCTGCGCCGTGCGGTCCCAGCCGTCGCTGCAGTGCACGCACACGTACACAGTGTAGGTAGTGGTGGGGCACCTGGTATCCGTTGATGGTGCGGTAGTGGGGGTCGAGGCAGAGCGCGGCCAGCGAGCAGGCCTGCGCCGTGCGGTCCCAGCCGTCGCTGCAGTGCACGCACACGTACACAGTGTAGGTAGTGGTGGGGCACCTGGTATCCGTTGATGGTGCGGTAGTGGGGGTCGAGGCAGAGCGCGGCCAGCGAGCAGGCCTGCGCCGTGCGGTCCCAGCCGTCGCTGCAGTGCACGCACACGTACACAGTGTAGGTAGTGGTGGGGCACCTGGTATCCGTTGATGGTGCGGTAGTGGGGGTCGAGGCAGAGCGCGGCCAGCGAGCAGGCCTGCGCCGTGCGGTCCCAGCCGTCGCTGCAGTGCACGCACACGTACACAGTGTAGGTAGTGGTGGGGCACCTGGTATCCGTTGATGGTGCGGTAGTGGGGGTCGAGGCAGAGCGCGGCCAGCGAGCAGGCCTGCGCCGTGCGGTCCCAGCCGTCGCTGCAGTGCACGCACACGTACACAGTGTAGGTAGTGGTGGGGCACCTGGTATCCGTTGATGGTGCGGTAGTGGGGGTCGAGGCAGAGCGCGGCCAGCGAGCAGGCCTGCGCCGTGCGGTCCCAGCCGTCGCTGCAGTGCACGCACACGTACACAGTGTAGGTAGTGGTGGGGCACCTGGTATCCGTTGATGGTGCGGTAGTGGGGGTCGAGGCAGAGCGCGGCCAGCGAGCAGGCCTGCGCCGTGCGGCCCCAGCCGTCGCTGCAGTGCACGCACACGTACACAGTGTAGGTAGTGGTGGGGCACCTGGTATCCGTTGATGGTGCGGTAGTGGGGGTCGAGGCAGAGCGCGGCCAGCGAGCAGGCCTGCGCCGTGCGGTCCCAGCCGTCGCTGCAGTGCACGCACACGTACACAGTGTAGGTAGTGGTGGGGCACCTGGTATCCGTTGATGGTGCGGTAGTGGGGGTCGAGGCAGAGCGCGGCCAGCGAGCAGGCCTGCGCCGTGCGGTCCCAGCCGTCGCTGCAGTGCACGCACACGTACACAGTGTAGGTAGTGGTGGGGCACCTGGTATCCGTTGATGGTGCGGTAGTGGGGGTCGAGGCAGAGCGCGGCCAGCGAGCAGGCCTGCGCCGTGCGGTCCCAGCCATCGCTGCAGTGCACGCACACGTACGCAGTGTAGGTAGTGGTGGGGCACCTGGTATCCGTTGATGGTGCGGTAGTGGGGGTCGAGGCAGAGCGCGGCCAGCGAGCAGGCCTGCGCCGTGCGGTCCCAGCCGTCGCTGCAGTGCACGCACACGTACACAGTGTAGGTAGTGGTGGGGCACCTGGTATCCGTTGATGGTGCGGTAGTGGGGGTCGAGGCAGAGCGCGGCCAGCGAGCAGGCCTGCGCCGTGCGGTCCCAGCCGTCGCTGCAGTGCACGCACACGTACACAGTGTAGGTAGTGGTGGGGCACCTGGTATCCGTTGATGGTGCGGTAGTGGGGGTCGAGGCAGAGCGCGGCCAGCGAGCAGGCCTGCGCCGTGCGGTCCCAGCCGTCACTGCAGTGCACGCACACGTACACAGTGTAGGTAGTGGTGGGGCACCTGGTATCCGTTGATGGTGCGGTAGTGGGGGTCGAGGCAGAGCGCGGCCAGCGAGCAGGCCTGCGCCGTGCGGTCCCAGCCGTCGCTGCAGTGCACGCACACGTACACAGTGTAGGTAGTGGTGGGGCACCTGGTATCCGTTGATGGTGCGGTAGTGGGGGTCGAGGCAGAGCGCGGCCAGCGAGCAGGCCTGCGCCGTGCGGTCCCAGCCGTCGCTGCAGTGCACGCACACGTACACAGTGTAGGTAGTGGTGGGGCACCTGGTATCCGTTGATGGTGCGGTAGTGGGGGTCGAGGCAGAGCGCGGCCAGCGAGCAGGCCTGCGCCGTGCGGTCCCAGCCGTCGCTGCAGTGCACGCACACGTACACAGTGTAGGTAGTGGTGGGGCACCTGGTATCCGTTGATGGTGCGGTAGTGGGGGTCGAGGCAGAGCGCGGCCAGCGAGCAGGCCTGCGCCGTGCGGTCCCAGCCGTCGCTGCAGTGCACGCACACGTACACAGTGTAGGTAGTGGTGGGGCACCTGGTATCCGTTGATGGTGCGGTAGTGGGGGTCGAGGCAGAGCGCGGCCAGCGAGCAGGCCTGCGCCGTGCGGTCCCAGCCGTCGCTGCATTGCACGCACACGTACACAGTGTAGGTAGTGGTGGGGCACCTGGTATCCGTTGATGGTGCGGTAGTGGGGGTCGAGGCAGAGCGCGGCCAGCGAGCAGGCCTGCGCCGTGCGGTCCCAGCCGTCGCTGCAGTGCACGCACACGTACACAGTGTAGGTAGTGGTGGGGCACCTGGTATCCGTTGATGGTGCGGTAGTGGGGGTCGAGGCAGAGCGCGGCCAGCGAGCAGGCCTGCGCCGTGCGGTCCCAGCCGTCGCTGCAGTGCACGCACACGTACACAGTGTAGGTAGTGGTGGGGCACCTGGTATCCGTTGATGGTGCGGTAGTGGGGGTCGAGGCAGAGCGCGGCCAGCGAGCAGGCCTGCGCCGTGCGGTCCCAGCCGTCGCTGCAGTGCACGCACACGTACACAGTGTAGGTAGTGGTGGGGCACCTGGTATCCGTTGATGGTGCGGTAGTGGGGGTCGAGGCAGAGCGCGGCCAGCGAGCAGGCCTGCGCCGTGCGGTCCCAGCCGTCGCTGCAGTGCACGCACACGTACACAGTGTAGGTAGTGGTGGGGCACCTGGTATCCGTTGATGGTGCGGTAGTGGGGGTCGAGGCAGAGCGCGGCCAGCGAGCAGGCCTGCGCCGTGCGGTCCCAGCCGTCGCTGCAGTGCACGCACACGTACACAGTGTAGGTAGTGGTGGGGCACCTGGTATCCGTTGATGGTGCGGTAGTGGGGGTCGAGGCAGAGCGCGGCCAGCGAGCAGGCCTGCGCCGTGCGGTCCCAGCCGTCGCTGCAGTGCACGCACACGTACACAGTGTAGGTAGTGGTGGGGCACCTGGTATCCGTTGATGGTGCGGTAGTGGGGGTCGAGGCAGAGCGCGGCCAGCGAGCAGGCCTGCGCCGTGCGGTCCCAGCCGTCGCTGCAGTGCACGCACACGTACACAGTGTAGGTAGTGGTGGGGCACCTGGTATCCGTTGATGGTGCGGTAGTGGGGGTCGAGGCAGAGCGCGGCCAGCGAGCAGGCCTGCGCCGTGCGGTCCCAGCCGTCGCTGCAGTGCACGCACACGTACACAGTGTAGGTAGTGGTGGGGCACCTGGTATCCGTTGATGGTGCGGTAGTGGGGGTCGAGGCAGAGCGCGGCCAGCGAGCAGGCCTGCGCCGTGCGGTCCCAGCCGTCGCTGCAGTGCACGCACACGTACACAGTGTAGGTAGTGGTGGGGCACCTGGTATCCGTTGATGGTGCGGTAGTGGGGGTCGAGGCAGAGCGCGGCCAGCGAGCAGGCCTGCGCCGTGCGGTCCCAGCCGTCGCTGCAGTGCACGCACACGTACACAGTGTAGGTAGTGGTGGGGCACCTGGTATCCGTTGATGGTGCGGTAGTGGGGGTCGAGGCAGAGCGCGGCCAGCGAGCAGGCCTGCGCCGTGCGGTCCCAGCCGTCGCTGCAGTGCACGCACACGTACACAGTGTAGGTAGTGGTGGGGCACCTGGTATCCGTTGATGGTGCGGTAGTGGGGGTCGAGGCAGAGCGCGGCCAGCGAGCAGGCCTGCGCCGTGCGGTCCCAGCCGTCGCTGCAGTGCACGCACACGTACACAGTGTAGGTAGTGGTGGGGCACCTGGTATCCGTTGATGGTGCGGTAGTGGGGGTCGAGGCAGAGCGCGGCCAGCGAGCAGGCCTGCGCCGTGCGGTCCCAGCCGTCGCTGCAGTGCACGCACACGCTCGCGCCGCCCGCCACGGCGCACGCGATCCACCACGACGTGTCCAGGATCGACCTGCCAATATCCATACACACACAAAGACAAATTATATATTGTTAGGAATGAAGGTAAAAAAATAAAAGAAAATACCAAGAAATGAGGGTAGAACTGTAATGTCCCACTCGTTATAGCAATAAAAAATATCGCGCAGGTGACTAAAGAGATCACTCAGAAATTCTACTTATGTCACTGTCGTTGGAGTATATACTTATGGTAAATGTAAAGAAAGTTTGTTACCGAGTAATATTCTTTTATTTAAGTAACTAGCTGTTCCCCGCAACTTCGCCCGCGTGGAATTTATTGCGATAGATTTCATGGGTTTTCATTATTTTACGCGGAACCCTAATTCTTTTCCTATAATAAAAGTAGCCTACGTTACTCCTTATAACATCAGCTATCTGCCAGTAAAAATCCTATCCAAATCGGTTAGAGTTTTATTATAGTATAGATAGATTATTTTGAGAATATTTTTTTATAGGATCGTGTGACAAACGAGCACACAGTCCACCTGATAGCAAGTGGTTGCTGTGACTCATAGACATCTACATCTATCCTCAAAAAAATCTAAATGCAGATGCGTTGTCACCCGTGACGATTAAGATGGAATGCCTCTTTTTCAGTAAAAAGGGTCTCCGGTTCTCTACACTCACCATACGAAACACAGCAGTATTAAGCTGCTATTTTACGCTGGTGTTCTTTGAGAGCGTGGTCCTTCCCTAGACGTCCCGAGCCGACTCATTCGTGCTACAACTATACTTCTAATATAGCGTATAAATACGTATAAAATATTATAATTTCTAATAATATATATACAGGGTTATTTTGCAATACCAAACATTTTGTCTTTTTATCTTTTATATTCAAAATGTGTGTTTAACTGATATCATTTATAAATATGAGGCGCCTACTATTTGACTACGCACGCCCACATTCGTACAGGAGTATTGAATTCGGAAGCAGTCAGAGGCGTTCAGCTAGTTCGACGCTCGCACTCGGTTACAAATTTAGGTATCTAATAGTTGTTTAACACGGTAAAGACCAGCGCGGCTCTCCGCACTTTCCCTTCCGTAAGCCGTTACACTACTAGGTACATTCGCTCAGCCGGCCGACAGTGTTGACTTGAACGTGACCTCATTACATACGAGTGTGTATTTTTAAATTATTGTAGGTAGTATTACTTGTCACTTCGTTAGCAAATACGATATGAAAATATTCGAACCGCTAATAATGAAATGATACGGTGTTACATTTTAAGCAATGAAATTTTACGTGGTGCGCAAATATTATACTGAAGTGCGTCTTTACCGCGTTTGCAAAGACAAGAAAATAACGCACGTGTACAATCGCCCAAATCGGAGTACAGTTTTGGCAGCAAACCAAAGGCTGTTAGACTTTGGACAGTTCACTACTTCGTCGAGGTCATCGATGCAGCTCGGAAATTCAGAGTTAGCCAGTATTACGTGTGAAAACTACTAAATTCTTTTGGATATCACCCATTTCATTGCCAACGTGTCCAAGCACTGAATAATAATGATCATCCACCTCGAAAACATTTTTGTGAATAGTTGTTGTCAAACATTGATTATACTAACATAATGTGGACTGGCGAAGCCCCATAACGTGTGTATGGCTTTATAACAGTTGTAACGAACATTACTCGGCAGTATGCAACCCACACGGTATAAAAGACGCCACTACTCTTACTACATACTACATCCAGTAAATGCGGTATGTACGTATACTATAATATAATTAAGCGGAAGAGTTTTTTCTTTGTTCAAACGCGCTAATCTCTGGAACAACCAGTTCGATTTGCAAAATTCTTTTTTTTATATGATAGCCAGTCATGAGGACTAGTATAGGCTATCAAGCATTAGGCTACACTTCTCAGCTAGCCTAAAATATATTTTTTGGTAAGCAAGTCGGAAAAAAAGCGCTCTCAAACTGCTTTATCCGTGTGCGCTGGCGTAATGTTCAGTTATACGTAAATAAAATGCTCTACAAAAATATTGTCTTTTTCTCAAAAAAAAATTACTTCAAAAAAAGTTCACGATAATATATGCCTATTTCTTATACATGATGTTGTGTGACGAAAAAAATATTGTAAACTAAAAAGTGAATTACGAGCGTTGTTATTAGGCGTGGCTTATAAATACTTACGAACGAAAGTTACTTCAACATCAAGACAATTTTATGAAGACAAACCTTGCTCTTTATAGTATGTTATTTGAACGCATAGTTTAAGAGATAGTGAAAAATTAAAATAATTCAACACTCGGCTCGCGAACGACGCATAACCTTAGCCGTCCGATGAGCCGAGAGAAACCAGCAGTGAACGCCTCTGTAAGCGAGTTATCTCACACGCGTGATATACGCGGGTGATACCACGGGGCCCAGCTATTTTTTTTTATAAAACTGAAATGACAAACAAACTTGCAGCCCACCTGATAGTAAATGACAACATAAAACTAAGAAGGCTACAGATGCGTTAACACGTATGAGGATTAAGATCCTTTAATTATACTGCCTCTCTTTATCACTACCTATATCCTTCAGGCCGGAAGACATCAGAGCAAGCACTGCTATTTGGCGGCAAAAATAGATAAGAGGGTGATGATACCTTTCCAAACAGACACTTATGCATTCCTACATAGGTGTCCGTTTGGAGATGACTCCTACCAAACAGTAAGTTTAGTGTAGAAGTAAACGGTAAGTAATAAAAAAAGCTGTTTACTGTTGTGACAACTGTGGTAAAAATCCCGGCAAGATGTAGTAGATTTATTGTATCGTGACAACTTAACTGCCCAAACTCACTCTCTGTTCTACCCAAGGTTAGCTGGTAGAGAATGCCATATAGCATTAAGCTCGCCTTTTGTAAATATATTTGGTGCAATAAAGAATAAATAAATAAATAAATGTAGTAGTATAAATAGTTAGTATTAAGTAGAATATATAAAAGTAGAAGTTCTTAATTTTAACCAAACCGAGTACTTTGTAATATTTTTTCATATATTTTGTCAAAGAAAGGTATTAGAGAAAATCATAACGGTAAATTAGGCGAGTAAATTATAATGATAGTTGATGGGTCAATTCGCGCGAAAAAAGCCGACATCTAGTGGGGAATAGGCGAATACTCGGGCCGAGTAGTGGGCACGTACGAATAAGGTATTTGCTTTTATCGTCACGCTTGGCAGTTGGATTAGTGTTCACAGTACATACGGCACATAACACTCCTATGAAGCAATTTACTAGTACCTATGCACATATTACCCTATGAGGCAGTCTATGGGGGAGGCCTATGTTTAACAGTGTACTTAACTGATGAATGAAATGAAAAATAAAAACCTTTTGAACGACATCCGTTTTATAATAATAATAATCTTTATTTCCAAGAATATGGTAATAATAATTATATTATTATATACTCACTTTATATGCTTCAACCAGCCAGATGACTCCAAGCCGCATAAGAACGACGACATCGAAGGAGTACTTTGTTCACAAGCTGCATTTAAATGAGACTGTATTTATTTATTCTATTCAAACACCTACAGGCCTACAGCATTGATACATTTCACTTATTACAACATTTAAAATTGATAAGCTATTAAAAGGTATTCGCTATTCTTCAAAACAAAATCGATCGAAATGAGGCATTATCTACAAATCTACTTAAGAGCAGTGCCACAGTTTATACCTTACTGTTTTGAAACGTCTTTGACGTAAGGCGATGCCACCGCCCGCGTAGCTATTTACTTACGCGTCCAGCGTGTATGATAGGGGTTGTCTCGAAAATGGAAATAAAATTATTTTGTATATTAAATATTCATTATCATTTATTAGAGGGCCACCATCTGTCCCAAGGAGGTGTCGGATTTATCGTCCACAAGTCTCTCGTTAAAAACGTTGTAAAGATTGGGAGTGTGTCGACGAGTGTTGCGTACCTTATACCAGGGCTCGGAAACCGGTTGAAATTCTAAACCGGTTTAGGTCATTGACCCCAAAACCGGTTTTTGCGGAATACCGGTTTTTCACAAATTTCGGTTTAGGTAGTAAGAATTAACCGGTTAAAACCAAGTTTTGTAATATCCCCCTCTCTCTTACCCCGCTTGCACCCATCATTGTACGGCTGCCACTGTTTAATTCCCGAGGTTTTTAGACACATGCACGATATATTCATTGCATCAACGCGACTGCCTTGTGACGTAACTCCCTCATATTTTTTCATCTTTCCGCAACGATCGTATTATAAATAACAGATGTAAGTTCTGTTTCAATTAATTATGCGTTATCTTCACTTTAAAATTAAGTTTTGAAATCAAGTTTAATTTGACGTTATATATTTAAATTGACTTTAATTATATTTAACGTATTCTATTAAAATTACGCTAGCATCTTTATTTCAATGTCATTAGTTTTAGTAATATATCGCAATAAATGATGAACTTTCTTAACAGAACACAATATTTTTAAAAGATTATGAAATTATATGTTATAGTATTTTTGTTCTTTTTAGGACTAAAGTGAGGCAGATTAACAGATTTTTTTTTAATTCTGAAGCTCGTAATTACGACCAACCTCTATCTCAGTCTTTGCAAAATTAATAATGACCACTTCTGAGGTGTAAAGTTTAACTAGAAGTCATGTCTAAACACGACAAAAAATTGTTTGTTATGTTCAGAGAATTCTAACAAAAGAAATTACCATTTTTCACATCTCATTAAAGCGAAATTGGAGCAAATCTTATCATGTTGTGTACGTGCAAGATGCTACTAAAAATATTAGTTTTTCTAAATAGAGTGCATGGTAACCACATAGATGAAATTAAATTAACTGATACTGAAATTAATAAAGAAAAATAATTTGAATCTAACAAATCATTATGATTAAATTCGGCTATACTTTGCTGTCGACTGTAACCAAATACATACACTAAAAAATCCTGTCTTTTATTTAAAGTAATTATTAATAACTCTCAATTAACTACATCATCACAGATATATCTACGAACATGTATTGAATTATAAAAGCGAATTATTAAAAGTGCAGCCAAGTTTTCTAACGCCTCAAGATCAAAATAATATAGTAATCACTTTCGAATTTTTTACAAACTTTCATACTTTACGCATACGAAACTATTAAAATAAATAAAATTGAAGTGTCTGTTCGTAACGTCAAAATAACAGATTTTTACTAAATACATATCATGAAATTATATAATTTTGTCTGTTTGTATGTGGTTACTAGCGTGACTGTGAATTATGATTTGGTCCTGGGTTTAAATCGTGTCCCAGGTCGTGCCAAGTACCGGTATTGGATTAATTTGGGTATAATGAGTGCTCTAGAAACCACCCTGATAGTCGTATTCAGCCCTCAATCAAGCACTTAGATTTTTGGGTTTTCTCGTCGTACGTTTGCTTATAGAAAAGGGGGCAAACGAGCATGCGGGTCATGTGATGGTAAGTGACTACTGCCACCCATAAACAACCGCAACACCAGGGGAATTGCAGGTGCGTTGCCAGCCTTTAAGAAAGGAGTGAGCTCTTTTCTTGAAGGTCCCTAAGTCGTATCGGTCCGGAAAAATCGCCAGTGGTTAACAATTCCACAGAGAAGTTTGTACTAGGAAGAAAACTCCTAGTAAAACGCACAGTGGTGGCCCGTCAAACATACAGATGGTGAGGATGGTATCGTGAATTTTGACGCGATGTGCGTTCGTGAAATTTGGCGGCTGGAATTAAACGGAACAATTCCTCAGAGCACTCACTTGTTCTATCACCGGGAGGACCATCTGTCCCAAGGAGGTGTCGGATTTATCGTCCACAAGTCTCTCGTTAACAACGTTGTAAAGATTGAGGGTGTGTCGACGAGAGTTGCGTAACTTATACTCAGAATCACCAAACGTTATTCGCTGAAGGTCATACAGGTTTACGCACCAACCTCGGCACACCCCGATCAGGAGGTGGAGGAAATGTATGAGGATATCTCTAGAGCCATGCATTCCTCCAAAACCCAATATACAGTGTTAATGGGAGACTTCAATGCAAAACTAGGCAAAAGAGAGAACGGTGAGCTAAAAGTAGGGAAATTTGGAATAGGGCAACAGAACCCAAGGGGCCAGCAGCTGGCCGATTTCATGGAGAAAGAGGGACTCTTTATGATGAACTCTTTCTTACAGAAGCGGCCTCACAGGAAGTGGATCTGGTCGTACCCCGACGGTTCGACAAAAAATGAGATTGACTTCATTATGACGACCAGACGACAACTGTTTAGTGATGTCTCCGTGATCGCGAGGGTGAAAACTGGTAGCGATCACCGAATGATTAGAAGCACACTGAACCTAAACGTTAAGTTGGAGAGGTCTCGTCTAATGAAGTCAACGCTCCGTCCCCCTCGTGCTCTGTTCCAAAGTCCCGAAACCTTTCAGCTCGAGTTACAAAACCGTTTTCAGTGCCTAGAAGACTGCAATGAATTGGACGATATGAATGACAAGCTCGTGGAATCTGTCCATGCGGTTGGAGCATTCAATACAGCTTGTATTGAAGAAGCGATCGAGCGGAACCAAGGCTCTAAAGTATTTACCAGAGATCTGTCTGCCAGAAAGAGCCAACTGTCAAAGCTGAAGACCGAGTGTGGCAGCATCGTTTCCGGGGCACCTGAGATTTTGAGTGAGATTGAGAGGTTCTATGGGCAGCTGTACACGTCATCGTTGGAGCCACACGCAAGTGTGAGTAACAATCCAAGAGCGAGTCTTATCCGACACTATTCCGAAGATATCCCGGACGTCAGTCTGAGCGAGATTAGAATGGTTCTCCAGCTCCTTAAAAACAGCAAGGCCCCAGGCGAGGATGGAATTACAGCGGAGCTTCTGAAAGCGGGTGGAAAACCGGTACTTGAAGTCCTTCAGAAGCTCTTTAATTCCGTCCTCCATGGTGGCATTACACCGGAGGCTTGGAGCGGAAGTGCGGTGGTCTTGTTGTTTAAGAAAGGTGACAACGCTCTCTTGAAGAACCACAGACCGATTTCGCGGCTCAGAAGCCGCGTCTACGTGCTGTTTTCGAGAGTCATTACGAATCGTCTCGCGCGCATACTTGATGACTTCCAGCCTCCCGAACAAGCCGGTCTCCAAAAGCGCTTTAGCACCATAGACCACATACATACCCTTCGGCAAATTGTACAAAAGTCCGAAAAGTACAATTTGCCACTATGTCTGGCGTATGTGGACTATGAGAAAGCCTTTGATTCCGTTGAAATTTGGGCGGTGCTGCAGTCCCTTCAGTGGTGCCAAGTTGACTGTTGGTATATCGAAGTGCTGAAGTGTTAGTACAGTTGCTATCCGAGTACAGAACCAGAGTACGAAACCTATCCAACTGCAGAGAGGTGTAAGACAGGGTGACGTTATATCCCCGAAACTTTTCACCGCTGCATTGGAAGACGTTTTCAAGCTTCTGGACTGGAAAGGATACGGTATCAACATCAATGGCGAGTACATCACTCATCTTCGATTTGCCGACGATATAGTCCTTATGGCAGAATCGCTGGAGGACCTAAGCATTATGCTCAATGACCTCAATAGTGCTTCCCAACGGATAGGTCTTAAGATCAACATGGACAAAACAAAAATCATGTTTAACGTCCATGTCACACCTATGCCGGTAGTTGTTGGGAGCACTAAGCTCGAAGTTGTTGACGAGTATGTTTACCTGGGACAAATAGTCCGACTAGGTAAGTCCAACTTCGACCGAGAGGTCAATTGACGGATTCAACTCGGCTGGGCAGCGTTCGGGAAACTACGACACGTCTTCTCGATAGACATATCTCAAAACCTAAAAACGAAATTGTACAACCAGTGCGTGTTGCCAGTGGTGACTTACAGATCTGAGACGTGGTCCTTCACTGCTGGCCGTATGAGGAAGCTCAAGGTCGCTCAGCGAGCTATGGAGAGGGCTATGCTCGGAGTGCCTCTGCTTGATAAACTTAGAAATGAGGATATCCGCAGTAGAACTAGAGTAACCGACATAGCCCGACGGATTAGTAAGCTGTAGTGGCAGTGAGCTGGCCGTATAGCTCGAAGAACCGACAAACGATGGGGAGAAAGGTTCTCGAGTGGCAGCCTCGTACCGGTAGGCGAAGTGTAGGGCGACCCCCCACTAGATGGAGTGACGACCTGGTGAGACATGTAGGAAGTCGATGGATGCAGGTGGCTCAGGACCGTGCTTTGTGGCATTCCTTGGGGGAGGCCTATGTTCAGCAGTGGACTTGTGAAGGGCTGTAATGGTGATGATGATGATGACATGTGAAGTTCGCTAACAAACATTGGGGTAGCGCGTCGGACATTTACTTGCCCTAAAACCCTCTCAGAAATAAAAAATAGGAGGCTTGTCCCCAGCAGTGGGACGTATAAAGGCTGCAACTTTACTTTACTTTTTCTGGTACTCGAAGACGTTTCCCGAGAAATATGGCACGGCCGGTGTATATTGCATCACTAGTGCTGTCGTTGTTACCAGTTTGCAAAATATCATTGATATGCAGTAGAAACAGCGTTGGTGATAGCACGCAGCCTTGTGGAACGCCAGCATTAATAGGCTTGTAATCAGAGCATGCACCGTCTACTACGACCTTCATGCTCCGATCAGCAAGAAAACTGGTGATCCAATTGCACAATTTCTCGAGAAGCCTATAGGAAGGGAGTTTCGAAAGAAGCGCTTTGTGCCAAATCCGATCGAAGGCATTCGCAATGTCCAAACTAACGGCCAATGCCTACCCCTTAGACTCTACTGCCTCCGCCCATCTATGAGTTAGATAGACCAGAATATCACCAACTGATGAACACCGACGGAAACTGTTTATAATGGATTCCATTATTTTGGAGAACAAGGAGGTGTTGGTGATAGGCCTGTAGTTTGACGGGTCTAAGTGGTCGCCTTTTTTAGGGATCGGGTGAACCAAAGCTGTCTTCCATGAATTTGGGATAACGCCTTAGGAGTAGAAGTACCGGAAAAGACGCGTTAAAACAGGTGTCTACTTCGGAGCACACGTCTTCAGCACAATGGAAGGGAACCGAGTGCTGTGTAAGCCGCACATCTGGCATGGAGCACTCAAACCGCGGGATGGTCGGCGGTGTATTCCTCCGTCATCGAGAGTCGAGTTGCACGCAAAAAGAGAGATTAACAGATCGGCTTTCTCCTTTGCGGCATGGAATCAGTGAGTCGCTCTCTCTTTGCAGAGAGGGCTGACAGAAGTTCCCTTGGACAGCCTTAGCAAGAGACCAGAATGAACGGGTTACCGAAGGAAGGCGAACTAGCCTCTCACCAACTCCGCCGATGTGCTCTGACCTTGCCTTGGCAATTAATTTTGAAGAACCTGGAGGCGTAATTATACTTCTTTTGAAGAGTGCTGATGTTTACATCTCGATACATCAACGTCTCGGAATTTAAAGATGTCGTCAGCCCCCGATGGGAACCACAGAAGATGGAATAAAAAGTTCCATATCCTCAAGTACCATATCAGTGACAGAACCAGCAACATTGCTGGGATTGTCCAGCGGGAAGCAAATTCGCCCTCAAGGGTAGAATGCAAAATTAAGACCGCATCCTTTCCCAATCGGCCGATATATAGTGCCAAACACGGCGGCTGCCTGCAGAATGCAACCGCGAAGATAGTGTGAGTGACACCACCCTTCGGACAAGACAATGGCCCTAGGAGCCGTGAGGGGTGTCAACGGAAACCTGATATCCGTCCGGATAAGAGGTCAGCAGAAGTTCCAACAGGGAAGGCGCATGATCCTCCACATCTGGAATCCGCGTAGGCGCGTAGGTAGTAACCAGCTGTGCAACCATATGCCAAGGCAAAGTCATAAACAAATTTCCCCACATGATCGGTTAAATGTGAACCGAGCCATTCGGCGTGATGGTCGTTAAAATCGCCAAGGATCACGATCTCTGAGTATACCCCCCTACCCCCCCCCCCACTCCCCTGTATACCAGAATACGCGGGGCAGCTTGAGCACACATGCTCAGGAACAGTAGGGTAGCTTGGGCGTGGGTGCTCAGCGAAGGATTCTCCGTCACCAGGATTCTGGTACCCTCCTGGGGTAGTTTTTTATTTGATGCCGCTACCATACTTTAAGGGGGGGGGGGGATTGGGCCTCCGACCACCCACACCTACCAAGCGAAACGCAGAAGTAAATTTCTACTTCACGCTGGTATTCTGTGAGGTCGTGGTACTACCCTGGTTCGAGCTGGCCCATCCATGCGATAGCAAAAGCTGCCGCGTGGCTCTATCTACTACTACTGTTAAAACGTAAACATGGAATGAATTCTATTTACTTTTTTTCAGCCCATCATAAATAAACAACCGATACACAAGAATAAATTATTTTCTTCATTATGAGACACGTCCAGTCTTAACGAATAAACCAAACACAGTAACTGCCTTTCTTTCTTCAAAACTTCTCCAATACTTTCCAGTTTTTCGTAAACGCCAAACTCCCACTACACACCCTGATCGCGACTAAAACAATGTATCGCTTGAAGGCAGATAATTGATGTGTGCCCGCATGCGGCGATGCCGCATAAGCACCTCGCAACGTGAATCTACCTGTCCTATTCATAACTGCATTTACGTTTTACGGAATTAACCGGTTAATTTGGGTGTCGAAACCGTTAAGTAACCGGTAACCTTTATCGTTTAGGTTTAATAAAAACCGGTTAATTTTTTAACCGGTAATTGAAGGAGCGATAAATTTACCGGTAATTAATCGAAATTAACCGCTCTTTTTAAACCGGTTCCGAGCCCTGCCTTATACTCAGAATAACCAAACGGTATTCGCTGAAGATCATACAGGTTTACTTACCAACCCCGGCACATTCCGATGAGGAGGTGGAGGAAATGTATGAGGATATCTCTAGAGCCATGCATTCCTCCAAAACCCAATATACGGTGTTAATGGGAGACTTCAACGCAAAACTAGGCACAAGAGAGAACGGTGAGCTGAAAGTAGGGAAATTCGGAATAGGACAACGGAAATCAAAGGGCCAGCAACTGGCCGACTTTATGGAGAAAGAGGGACTCTTTATGATGAACTCTTTCTTCCAAAAGCGGACCCACAGAAAGTGGACCTGATCGAGCCCCGACGGTTTGACAAAAAATGAGATTGACTTCATTATGACGACCAAACGACAACTGTTTATTTATGTCTCAGTGATCGCGAGGGTGAAAACTGGCAGCGATCACCGAATGGTGAGAGGCACACTGAACTAAACGTTAACTTGGAGAGGTCACGTCTAATGAAGTCAACGTTCCGTCCCCGTCGTGCTCTAATCCAAAGCCCCGAAAACTTTCAGCTCAAGTCACAAAATCGTTTTCAGTGCCTAGAAGATTGCAATGTAGTGGACCATATGAATGACAGTTCTGTAAGACCCGTCGCAGAAGAACACAAAAACTATCCGATCACACTCTTAATCTCATGGTTGTTAGACGGGAGATGAAGCTGCAGTCTTCAGCAGATTTGACAAAATACAGGCAACTGAATAGGCACCTTTTTTTATAGGATAAGGGTGACAAACGAGCACACAGTCCACCTGGTGGTAAGTGGTTGCTGTGGCCCATACACATCTGCATCTATCCTCGATTACAAATGAAAATGTAGATGCGTTGTCACCCGTGAGGACTAAGATGGAAGGCTTCTTTTCCAGTAAAAAGGGCCTCCGGTTGTCTACACTCACCTTACGAAACACAGCACCATTAAGCTGCTATTTTCGCTAGTATTCTGTGAGAGCGTGGTCCTTCCCCGGTCGAGCCGACCCATTCGTGCTACAACTATACCACTAATATAGCTGCAGCATGGCTCTACCACGTAAAAATCATCTGCCTATTCTGCCTATCTTCGAGAACCTTATTTTCACCATAGGTTGCCGGTTCTTCGAGCTATATGGCCGGCCCAGACTATTAAACCGTTAGACTATGTCGATTACTCTGGTTCTACTGCGAATATTCTCATTACTAAATTTAAGTGGACTGCCAAGTCAGTTTAATTTGGAAGTCATCCTATTAGTCAATGTGCAAGTAGTATAAAAACGCTTACTTTCAACCAGCTTCTGTAAGCTTTTCCTCATGACGTGGATGTTTCCGATGCCCATGAACTGAAACTTGATGTTCTCGTAAAACGCCTCATTTTCGTAGCCCTTGCCCGCAGCGCGGTTAACCATCGCGTTGATCTGCAATATAAATTACTAGCTGTATCCCGCGATTTCACCCGCGTATATCACGTGTCTGAACCGTGCGACATGACATGAGACCTAGTTCAAGCATTTTAGATAGCAATGAAATTAAATTAATGGAGTACTTTTATCTATGGGCATATTATGTACCTTATAGAACAGTTACATTTTATAGACTGTCCCTCACACTACACACTTTTCATGTATCATGTACTGTTTTCTTTAAATCTGGTAAAAACCGCGATTCGGGACACATTTTTCACAACTAAACTTTGAACAAAAAAACATATTGCTCGGAAAGTGATATTGCTTTTATATGTATAAGAGATTGATAGCAAATTTATCAAGGATAATTTCCTACCTACACAATTTTTATGTATCAATCGATTCTTTCCAAGGACGATTCGCAAGGCTATTGAATTCAAAAAACATCCTAATTTCAATAGAGAAATGGTGGAGTGCTACCATCTGCTTAGTTGCAGCCTATTTACGTCCCACTCCTGGGCACAGGCCTCTTATCTCCTCTTATCATTTCTGAGAGGGTTTTAAGGCAAGGAAATGTCCGCGCACTGCCCCATTGCGTGTTGGCGAACTTCACATGTCTTCGAAATATTTTTTTCTTATTTCTCAGACATGCAGGTTTCCTCACGATGTTTTCCTTCACCGCCGAGCACGTGGTAAATCAGCACTTAAAATTGCAATTAACAATTTCATAGGTGTCTATGGGGATCGAACCCGGGTTGCTCGAGTACTGTGAAGCTTACAGCGAGCGCTAACCATCTGAGCTACCACGGCTCTATACCATCTGCTTGGGATCCTATAATTAATAAAATTAAATCCCAACCCAAGTATACAACTGCAAGACTTCAAGATACTGTTAAGTTAATATAATTTTAATATGGAGGTAACGTGGTTAATATAGTTAGTTAACTATGACATTAGGACGTCAAACACCTAAATCCCCCTCGTGACCATTGGTGCTGTAATGTGCTCGAAACGTCGCGAATATAAAATAAGTTAATATACGCGTTAAAATACGTAAAACTAGTTTTATTTAAATAAAACCTTGTTGTTGTGAAGTACGTAGTCGGGGCAATATTGTATTGAAAAATATGGATGAATAAAATACAATATATGATGATTACACTGACATTAAATTAACTTAAAAATAAATGTTTTGTGAAAAAAGAAATTATTATTAAATGTTTTGGACTAAATTGTGTTTGTATTAATCATGAAGCTAATACAAAGGGGAGACGGCATAAGCAACTGTGCACTGTGATTCTAAGTAGGTCCTGACGTCATCATAGTGGGCGTGGCTTTAGTTAGTATACTGTCAGCATTCGTCCTGTGCGCTCATGTGTTGAAAAAATCGCAAATCGATGTATTTTCGTAGTATTAAGAAGAAAAGGATGAAGTGTTGTGTTTTATTGTGTAAAAACTACTCAGATAGACGCTCTGATGTTATGGATGGCATCACATTTCATTTGTAAATAATTTTAAACCTAATTTATTTAAATAGTTCTAGAAAAATCTCTTTGCGTTGGCTTTAAAATATAATTAAATATATTCGACACTAGATGGCGACAATTTGTGTCATGTGAACTAAAAATATAAAGGTCCGTAGAGCTCAGTATTGGTAAAATAAACATACGAAGGTGCTGAAATTTGTTTTGCATTCAGATATAAAGTAATTTTAATCGCGAAATATTATTTTATAGTTTATAATCATTATGTGAACAGGCCGTATTCTATCGTCAAATAAACCTCATAAAGATAACAAAAAGACAGTGCCGTAATTAGAATTCAATTGTTTTATTCAGTAATCCAACTTTCAATATTAAAATGAAGGAAATTGTACTTAGGCTGATTTTCACGAAATGTTTAAGTTATATTTAAGTGACATTCTATATGCAAAGAATCACTTAAATACAATTTAATGTTCTTAGATTGGCATTCAAAAAGTGCATTCGGAAGCCTAATTTGGAATAAAATATTTATATTTTAATTGATTTGTAAATAAAATTATATTAATTATAATAATTTGTCTATTATTTGTTCTCCCTCAGAGATATTAAGTAGTATAACCCACACATAAATAATAGTCCAGCCGTTTCTGCGTGAAAAAATTAAACATACTTAGTGTGGAATAAGCTCAAGGAGACAGAAAGATCACACAATATTTCGCCTTTATAATATTAGTGAGATAAGTAGGATATTTAGTTCCAAATTAAATATCCTACTTAATATTGAACATAGAATATTTAGTTTCAAAGAGACTTTATTTTATGGATAAAATAAATATTTTTTGAAGGTTGACTTTCACGAAATGATAAACATATTTAAATTGTATTTAAGTGATTCTTTGCATATAGAATGTCAGTTAAATATAACTTAAACATTTCGTAAAAATCAGCCAAGTACAATTTCCTTCATTTTAATATTGAATGTTGGGTTACTGGGTAAAATAATTGAATTCTAATTGCGGCCCTGTCTTTTTGTAATTTTTATGAGGTTTACTTGACAATAGATGGCGGCCTGTTCCCAAAATTATTATGAAAAGTATAAAATTATTATTTTGGCGATTAAATTTCTTTGTCTGAATGTATTTGCTTCATGAGATAGACGCTCCGATGCTATGGATGGCATCACATTTCATTTGTAAGTAATTTTACACCTAATTTATTAAAATAGTTCTAGAAAAATCTCTTTGCGTCAGCTTTCAAATATAATTAAATATATTCCACACTAGATGGCGACACTTTGTGTCCTGTGAACTAAAAATATAAAGGTACGTAGAGCTCAGTAATGATAAAATAATCATACGAAGGTACTAAAATTTGTTTTGTATTCAGACATAAAGAAATTTTAATCGCCAAAATATTATTTTTTAGTTTATAACATTTTGTGGATATGCCGCCATCTACCGTCAAGGTAGCTAAGCTACATTGCAACATTGATATGGAAAGATTCGAGTAGTTTTACTATTTATCGGTAGATGTAGATAGTGTAGTGGGCGGGGCTTTGCATCCCCTCACCCCGCAAATTGTCACGCGTTGTTTCATAGTGAAATTGAATTACAACGTCTCCTCTTTGTATTTGCTTCATGGTATTAATACAATTAGTTTTAAATAGAGCTTCAAAGTACTTAAGATCAATCTTGAGAAACCATTAAATCATGGCTTGAATTTGAAGGGTTGGGTTCAGTCAAATCATATAGAATTATACTATTTATGTTACCTTCTGGTACTCCTTTCATGGCGTTTGAAAAGACCCTGTCATTCGGTCATGTAATGACTTGTCTTATAAAATACTGCTATGTGGCACAGAAAATTTCAGAGAGTAGATTTTGTAGATTTGCATATTCAAGTTTTTTTTTGGAACAACTTGCGTAGCCAAGGACAAAGACTTTGGCAGTAACTATACCAAAAGGATTTTTAGGGTTGAAATTATTTAACAACTTCATAATTAATACCGGGGAGTAGAATTTTGCAGTAGTTAATACCATGTCTATGTGGGAGAGGACACTGTAAAATATCTGAACTCCTGAATGCCCAGGAGCAGAATAGATATATCACTACAATTATAATGCTTGTATATTAAAATGTACTCGCATATCACTGTATTGCAAACTCAAGAATGTAAAACACAAAATAACTTTGGTTCCGATAAAATTATTAGATAGAACCTCTTTATCATATAACAAAATGTAATTTTTAATATAGAACTATGTTGCCTTCTAATTTTCTCCGGCATTATTTACTTTTTGTAAAAGTTTTTTACACCAACATCTTAAGTATTTTCTAGCTAGCTCAAAAAAATGATTTTGCGAATTATGTGCAGATAGAACCTTGTATACGCAATGCGACGATACTCCCCACTGTTGTGCACAGGCCTACTCTCATTTCTGATAGGGTTTTAGGGCAAGGCAATGTCCGCCGCGGAGCCCAAAATGCGTGTTGGCGAACTTCACGTCTTCGTAATATATGGTTTTTTTCTCTTATTTCTCAAACATACAGGTTTCCTCACGATGTTTTCCTTCACCGTAGAGTACGTGATAAATGAGCACTTAATATTGCAATTAACAATTTCATTGGTGCCTGCAGAGATCGAACCGGTATTTCTCGCATACTGTGGAATTTACAGCGACCGCTTAGTCCCTGAGCTACCACGGCTATATGAGGTGTTGGCAAAAACAAAAATATTGTGCGCAGTTAAATAATTAAATAAGAGATACATATTAAAACACCACTCACTCTGGGTCTGGTATCTACGACATACATGTACCCGCAGTTGGGGTTTGCCCGACGTATAAGATCGAGCATTTGTTCGTCTTCCATGCATCTGTAATAAAAGCAATGAATTTATTTGTAATATAGCTGAATCATTTTTTTTATTAACTGGTGGACTGATGAAGTAGAGGTAGACATTTTTTTGTCATGTCTCGAACATCTATGATGATTTTTGGCTGAATTACTGACTTTTTTTATAGAATAAGAATGACAAACGGGTACACAGTCCACCTGAAGTGAAATATGTATCCCATAGACACACATCTATTCTTGATTAAGAATAAAAATGCAGATGCGTTGTCACTCTTGATGTCAGACTCTATGATGGAATGCCTCATTTCTACTAATAAGAGTTCTCTACACTCAGTTACCTCGCTAGGCGTGGGCGAAGTGGGCTCTCGCCCAGACTTAATTAAATTGATCACTTTTACGATTTTTACAAATTTAAAAGCGTGTTTATTTGGGGCCTCGCAAGAAGCCCCTCTTAAGTACCACTGAGAGTCCTTTGTAAATATCTTCAAAAACCGCGACCGTTATATTAACGGAATTTGAGACTTGTCAGGAATTAATAGTTATGAGTAGGTATGTCGTGTCAAAACATGTTTGTTATTGTCGTGCAAAACTTGCTTGACTTCACCGCGACGTACGTGATAAACGAGCACTTAATATTGCAATTAACAATTTCATTGATGCCGGCAGGGATCGAACCCGTGTTCCCCGCATGCTGAGGAATTTACAGCGACCGCTTGGCCCCTAAGCTACCACGGCTATATGAGGTGTTGGCAAAAACAAAAATATTGTGCGCAGTTAAATAATAAATAAGGGATAAATATTAAAAAACCTAATAGCTAAAGCTAATAGATCTATTGGATAGATCTTGGGAACGAAATAAAAGGTGCCTCGCTGATGCGACTTTGCCCACGTCTATATTAGTCCACGCTACGCCTCTGTCTACACTCACCGTACGAAACACAGCAAAGCTGCTATTCTGTGAGAGTTTGGTCTTTCCCCGGTCGAGCTGACATACTGTGCTGCTGAATAAAATAGCCTACAGCAAGTTTATTCTTGTCCTTCCCATAACGATGAAATAAGATTAAACAGAGCTTGCTTAAAGTGTCAGAACATGTTTGTTTATTTATTTATTTATATACATGGCAGGAGTGACAGATTAAGATACGATTTCTGAGGAGTTAACCAAGTAGTTAACTTGTACAATCGTTAACGCTAATAGCCGACTATAACTAAAAGACTAAAACTAAAAGAAATAAAATAATTTCCACATTATAGCTTCTGAAGTTGGTTACCATTGACTACAGTAGCCATTACGTGGAAATTATTTCATTTTTAGTTTTCCATTAGCGTTAACGAATAAAAAAAACCTGTGTGCAGTTCACACGCGGTAGAAGTGAAGCCTTCAGAAAACTAAACTTCACGAGAACGAGACGAATGCAGAGTATTAGAAGTAGGATAATTTCACACAAACTGTATACAATATTCTATCTCATTCTCTCGCAGGCTGAATCCAATAGATGTGTATATGTTTGTCTCTTTTTAGTGTCGCTTTTTCGTTTTATAGAGTTTTAAAACATCACGAAAAAATTTTCACTTCGAGAGAACGAGACGAATGCAGAGTATTAGAAGTAGGATAATTTCACACAAACTGTATACAATATTCTATCTCATTCTCTCGCAGGCTGAATCCTATAGATGTGTATATGTTTGTCTGTTTTTGTGTTGCTTTTTCGTTTTATAGAGTTTTAAAACACAGCGAAAAAATTTTCACTTCGAGAGAACGAGACGAATGCAGAGTATTAGAAGTAGGATAATTTCACACAAACTGTATACAATATTCTATCTCATTCTCACGCAGGCTAAATCCTATAGATGTGTATATGTTTGTCTCTTTTTAGTGTCGCTTTTTCGCTTTAAATCACAACGAAAAAAATTTTAACTTCAAAAAATTACCTTGGCTAACCCATCAGGGTCTACAACTTGGAACAAGAAGCGATCACTAACGATCAAAGTACCTGGCCGAAAATCCGCTGAGCGGCTGACTGCAGCGCGTAATGGCCGCCTTGTTGTGGTGCAAGTAGGCCAGCACGGGCAGTCGACCGCGCGAACGGAAACTGGCACTGCCCAATAATATCGTGGTGGAAGCTCGCGCCGGCACGTACACCTCGCTGGGGTATGTGTCACAGAGCTAAAGGAAAATTGATATTGTTTTCAACCGTGGCGCAGTGGCTTAGCAATTGAGTTGCAGCGCTAAGGTCCGCGGGTTTGAATCCCGCATGGAACAAGTATTTGTATGGCCTACAAATAATTGTTCCGGGTCTGGATGTTTGTCCTTGTCAAATTTATGTTTGTAAACTGCCCCACGATAGAAGTTACGTTTTTTAAAACAAAAAAAAGTTATGTAAAGCCTAGCTTAGTGGCGGTGTAAAAGTATCCCACTACCCTATAAAGTCCCGTGAGTGTGACGTAAGAGGCCACAGATAAAAATAAACTATGAGATTAAGGCTCATATTAATAAAAGTTACTCAACGACGAATTCAAATGCGTAATCATTTGTTACGCCCTCATTACGATATCAGCATCTCAAGATCGTTGCTTATTAATAAACACATAAAAACAGTATCTCAAAACACTGTACTTAGGAATACTGTTCTGTGACTTGCACTCAAGTACACCCACTTAAGAGTCGAGTTTCGTTTATTAATCAGTGTGGCACTCAGCTGATATCGTAAACCTAAACCACATCTTGAGATATGTTTATTAATTAGATCATAACCTCAACATTGTACTCAAGTGCGTGTACTTGAGCTGAGTAACGTTTATTAATACGGGCCTAAGAGTACCCTTAACCGACAAGTGAAAGAATCGAGAGGTGTGTCAGAATCGTGGCAAATAAAAGCCCGTAGTCTCTGCCTACCTCTCTACGTAACAAGCGTAAGAGTTTATGTTTACGTGCGTACGTAAATCAACATTATCATCAGCCTATGCTAAGTCCACTTGTGAATATAGGCATTCATTCATTGACTTCCTGCTAGAAATGTATTAGAATCATCGGCCAAATTGAAAATCCTGACAGTTGTAGACCCTATTTCATTAAAAATAACATCCGTACACTACCATCATTATACATATTTGACATTTGCATATTTGTATTCAAGAACATAAATCACTTCACAAAAGTAAAAGACAATCACAATTTAAACACACGCCACACAGACAGTAGACTATACCTACCACCATCAAGAATTAAAATGCTAAACCAGAGTCCATACTACATGGCTATAAAAATATACAATAAATTACCTATCCACATAAAAACTGAAAATAAAATCACAAAAAAACTAAAATAATTCTTAACAGAAATTACAAATCTTTTACACAAATAACAGAACTAATATACCTAAACATTAAGTCAACAAAAATACATAATAAAAGGAAAAAGCGGTTTTGATACACAAAAAATATTATGGACAAGTATCAGTAAAAGAATAAATATTATGTTGATACAAAATATCATAAATGCCTTTATATTTTGCAAGATCTATATTATTAGACCTTTATTATTATTTCATTAATCTTATTACTCTATAATGTTTGTATTGAATAACTTTATCTGTTTTAATAATTTTATTAATATTTTAATGATTTTATCTCCCTTTCTCAAATTTGCAATGCCTGGTTGGTAAATAAAGATTGATAGATTTATAGATTGATAGAACTCTTCGGATCGTTACTCCTTCCATCGGTGATTTTGTGGGTAGGGTAAAAAATCCATCCACACATAGTTGCCACGCTTGACATGTGGGTTGACAACCACAGTTTTTTTATTATTTTAATTGTGTCATTTTCGGAAAGATGCTGCTGCCCATCTCCTATTTCAGTTTTTCTTTGTCGCCTCTTACAACACCCACGGTACGACGAGGGGAAGTGTATATTCTTATACTCCACGCAAATCAAAATAATTAGAGTTACAAATACCTCATAGTCTTTATTTGCATTGCACAGAACCCAATGCTCGTTGGGCACGTTCATGCGCTGGTACTCTGTCTGGATGTCGAAAAAGTTCCAGCCCGCAGACTTAGGCAGATCATCTGGAGTTGACTTATAATTGAAGCAATACAACTCTTCTATGTGAACTAAAAAGAAAAGAAAATGTGATGATAGATACATTAATATTTGTGATATTTTTTTATAGGATAAGGGTGACAAGCGAGCACACATTCCTCCTGATGGTAATTGGTTGCTATAGACATCTACATCTATCTTCGTTTTCGAATAAAATGCAGATGCGTTGTCAGCCGTGAGGACTAAGATGGAATGCCCCTTTTCCAGTAAAATGGGTCTCCGATTCTCTACACTCACCAAACGAAACACAGCAGCATTAAGCTGCTATTTTACGCTCGTATTCTGTGAGAGCGTGGTCCTTCCCCGATCGAGTCGACACATTCGTGCTACAACTATATATTACCAAATTTCTTGCACATTTGACGCTTATTTCAGTCGCCGTTCTGGGTATATCTCGTATAAATACAGGACGGGCTATGCCATTATTTATCTGTCACATGATCTTTTTAGCAAGAGACTCGCGGTTTTTGTACCACCCTAGGGTTAACATGGGAGGATAGTGTATATTTATACATTTATGATTGTTTTCAACAACAATGACTGCCATCTTGAATAATTTAACCTAAACTTTACAAAAGCTGAATTTTAATTAAAATGTCAGACTCAAAACAGCAACTGCTAAACTGCTCATTTTATCTCGTTCGGGATCTTATCCATCTTTTATTCTCACCTGGTTGACTAAGTCGCAATAATGTCTGGTGCATTTCGTGGCAGTCCCTCTCCCTCGGAATCACGAAAAACACTGATTGGAAGGTCTTCGTGCGCACCAAAAGCGGAGAACCAGTCGTGGTGATTGGGAGACGCTCTACTGATGATATGTGCATAAGGAGTATCTAGAAAACGAAAATAAAATGAACAGTTGAAAAATAAAATAGAATTATGGGGCCTGAGTCCACCATTCTATTTTATTTTACATTCATGACAACATCGTCTTAACCGCGGAGTAGTGCACGCAATTGTGTGAAAAGATAGTTGCTGTTCAAACTTTTATAGCTCTTTAAACTTCAACCATTTAATTTTTCACGCGGATTTCAATCAATTAATTTTTACATCTTTAGTACTTAAATGACTTTAGACAATTAAAATTACGACTTTTAATTTTTTTTAAGCCCCTAGATACTATGACGGTTATTGCGTTCCTAGCTTATTAATATATCCCTAGAACAGGCTTTTTTTATAGGATAGGGTGACAAACGAGCACACAGTCCACCTAATGCTAAGTGGTTACTGTGACCCATAGACATCTACATTTATCGTCAGTAAAGAATCAAAGTGCAGATACGTCATCACCCGTGAGGACTAAGATGGAATGCCTCTTTTTTAGTAAAAAGGATCTCCGGTTCTCTACACTCACCATACGAAACACAGCAGTGTGAAGCTACTATTTTACGCTGGTTTTCTGTGAGAGCGTGGTCATTCCCCGGTCGAGCCGATCCATTCGTGCTACAACTATACTACTAACATAGCTGCAGCATGGCTATACCTCGTGTATACTAGGCTTATTAATAACAGGCGTACTAGGTGGTGGGACTCCTTTTCTGCCTAAGAGTCTGTCTGTCGCCAAATAGCAGTGTCTGCACTACTGTGTTCGGTCTGAATCGGAAGAGTATAGAGAACCAGTGTAATTACAGGCTACCATGCATTCTATGTTAAACCTCAGAGTATACAACGCATATGTAGCCTTCCTTATTTGAAGTTGACTGCGGGTGCCTATGGAATCCAGCACGGCTAGCATGGGCTGGGAACAAAAAATTTATTCACCGATTATATCCACTGACAAGAGATAAAATTATCTTGTCCTTATGCCGATCACGGCAACGGGGAGCAGTATATTCCCGTTTGACATAACGAGTAGACATATATCCCCCGTCCGTAGCATGGAGAATGGAGATGAAAGTGGAGATGGAGAAAAAATTATGTTTTTTTGATATTTGAAAGGGACAATTTCATCCTAGTTCATTAGACGTGGGTTTAATATAAAATTCATACAAAAAAAATCTCAATCTAAGTCTGTCTCCCATTTTATCTACTGTGGATATTATATCCACCGGTGTCTCCATGCTCGAAGGGTGGATAAAACTAAGCGAGGGAATAAATATTTTCTCCTTTCTCCGGGGATAAAATTGTCTCCTGCCTATGCTAGCCCGGCAGTAGCGACTTACCATCAGGTGGACTGTAAGTTTGTTTGTCACTTTATAAAAAAATATATTTGTTAAATTGCCAGCACATTTTCTAGCCATCCCCATGTAGATATTATCATTTACAATGTGATAGCGAGAAGTTTAAAATTTATTAAAGTGTACCTATTAGGCCATATTCCGACGACACGCACCCGCTACGTGCACGCCACGCTCGTCAGCACCCGCGTCTAACTCTCTTTGAAATCGGTTGCATATAATTTGAGTCTTATGACAAATCAATAAATCTGAAATTGTGTAAAAAGCGCGGGCGCAAGGCGTAGCGGGGCGGGTGCAGGGAGTGTGCGGGGTGAGCGCGGGGCCAGTGCGGGGCCAGCGCGGAGCGGGAACGAGGCGGGCGCGTGGCGTGTGCGGTTGAACGTCGATAAATGCAATTTCAGATTTATTGATTTTTCATAAGACTCAAATTATATGCAACCAATTTCAAAGCGAGTTAGACGCGGGTGCTGACGCGCGTGGCGTACGCGTAGCGGTTGCGTGTCATCGGAACGTGGCCTTATGATTACAGCACGAATGAGTCGCTCGACCGGGGAACCAAAATCATCAATTTTTACGAGTAACGAGGCATTTCATCTTAGTCCTCAGTTGTGAGAGCGCATTTTCTATTTGATTCTTAATCGGAGATAGATATAAGTGACTATGGCCCAAGGCATCCACTTAACATCTGGGGGACTGTATACATTTTAATTACTCTTAGTTCTTTTTTTATACGTGGTAGAGACATGCTGCAGCTATATTAATAGTATAGTTGTAGCACGAATGGGTCGGCTCGACCGGCGAATGACCACGCTCTCACTGAATACAGGCGTAAAATAGCAGCTTAACACTGCTGTGTTTCGTATGGTGAGTGTAAAGAACCGGAGACCCTTTTTAATAGAAAAGAGGCATTCCATCTTAGTCCTCACGGGTGACAACGCATCTGCATTTTGATTCGCAAACGAGGATCGATGTAGATGTCTATGGATCACAGCAACCACTAACCATCAGGTGGACTGTGTGCTCGTTTGTCACCCTATCCTATAAAAAAAGACTTCTATAAATAACAAGCTACGAACACAAACATTTTAAGTTCGGACGATAGTATCTTGCGTACATATGATTGGGTCTGATGTTTTCCTGCAGATCGATTATGGATGAGCTGAGCGAGATGACATTTTCCAAATATATTAAATGCGTGGGAAGTGTTCGCTCTCACTCGGTCATATTAGGTACTATTAACTTATTTAACGGTAACTCAGTGAACACCAACTTCAAAATCTTTTTAACTTCTTTAAAGTCGGTTTTTTAGATTTTTTTTAGTTTAATTTTTTGACCCTTTTGAGTGGAATAATCAATAACAAAACCTTATTTTAGACGCGCATACTCTACTCACCCATGTCTCCTTCCTCATCTCATGATCGACGAAAATGAGGTGTGTAGTTGCAAAATACAAGGTGCCCTTCGAAGGATTTCGTATGTTGTATTTATCCAATAGCTGCACATTCTCCAACTAGAAAAAGACAAAAATATATTTTTATTTGTTCTCTGTACATACATACAAAAACTAATATTAAACAATTACACCTCTTACTCTTGGTCATGTGTATAACGTAAGAAAATTCTTCATCATTTTCCGTATGTTTCGTATATTATGCGATTGCTATTGTAATAAATATCTCATGGCCTCCGTCATATCGCTACAATATTTACACAACCATCTACAATATTTTCCGACCAAAAATATCCAGACAGGCAATTAGGATCAACACATAAATCTGCCATCGCTTATCCGCTTGCAAAGTATTGTGATCATAGAGTAGAATAACTATTAAACAAAGTCTTTCCAGTATGTGTCAAAACAAGGCATGGTCATAAATGAAATGAGAATGTCGTAAGGTATTAAGTACGCCGTATGTACGATTTTAATTTTTGTGCATAAAAGTTTAAAAAAATAAAGATCTCATGGCCTTCGTCACATAGCAGCAAAGTGATCTACAATATTTGCCGACCAAAATATGCAGACAGGCAACTAAGATCAACACTTAAATCTGCCATCGCTTACTCGCTTGCAAAGTAGTGTGATAATAGAGTAGAATAACTATTAAAAGTCTTTCTGGTAAGTGTCAAATATTATAGGATTGTCATTGTCATAAATATCTTATGGCCTCCATCGTATAGCGACACAACCATCTACAATATTTTTCGACGAAAAATATGCAAACAGGCAACTAAGATCAACACTTAAATCTGCTATCGCTTATTCGCTTGCAAAGTAGTGTGATAATAGAGTAGAATAACAATTAAAAAAAAGTCTTTCTGGTAAGTGTCAAATATTATGGGATTGTCATTGTCATAAATATCTTATAGCCTTCGTCGTATAGCGACACAACCACTTACAATATTTTCCGACCAAAAATATCCAGACAAGTAACTATTAGCACACTTAATGCTACCATCGCTTATCCGCTTGCAAAGTAGTGTGATAATAGAGTTGAATAACTGTTAAAAAAAGTATTTCTGGTATGTGTCAAATATTACGGGATTGTCATTGTCATAAATATCTTATGGCCTCCGTCGTATAGCGGCACAACCATCTACAATATTTTTCGACGAAAAATATACAGACAGGCAACTAAGATCAACATTTAAATCTGCCATCGCTTATCCGCTTGCAAAGTAGTGTGATAATAGAGTAGTATAAATATTAAAAAAAGTATTTCTGGTATGTGTCAAATATTATGGGATTGTCATTGTCATAAATATCTTATGGCCTCCATCGTATAGCGGCACAACCATCTACAATATTTTTCGACGAAAAATATGCAGACAGGCAACTAAGATCAACACATAAATCTGCCATCGCTTATTCGCTTGCAAAGTAGTGTGATAATAGAGTAGAATAACTGTTAAAAAAGGCTTTCTGGTATGTGTCAAATATTATGGGATTGTCATTGTCATAAATATCTTATGGCCTCCATCGTATAGCGACTCAACCACCTACAATATTTTCCGACCAAAAATATCCAGACAAGTAACTATTAGCACACTTAATGCTACCATCGCTTATCCACTTGCAAAGTAGTGTGATAATAGAGTAGAATAACTGTTAAAAAAGTATTTCCGGTATGTGTTAAATATTATGGGATTGTCACTGTCATAAATATCTTATGGCCTCCATCGTATAGCGGCACAACCATCTACAATATTTTTCGACGAAAAATATGCAGACAGGCAACTAAGATCAACACTTAAATCTGCCATCGCTTATTCGCTTGCAAAGTAGTGTGATAATAGATTAGAATAACTTTTAAACTGGCCATGCACGTGTCGGGCCACGCACAATGTAGAGGTAGGGTTGCGTAGTTAGCCGTCACAATGCGTGGGCTTTCTTGAGAATGAGCATAATGAATGCGTTCGCGGTTTGACTGTTATAACGACTAAAAAAATGGGCCCAAATAGGAAGATGGTAACTGAAAGATTTGTTTTCAACTCAGACTTATAGGGAATGGTATTAAAAAAAGATTAAAAAATCTTTTCGATTTTGAAAATAATACAATTTATATCAAATCAAATTTGTACGGACTTGGCATGTAAATACATGGCAAGTCCGTACAAAGATGGTCATAGTTGACTATCTTTGTACGGACTATATACTCCCAGCAGTGCAACCCTAAGATATATATGATCATTACAAACCTTCCCGTAAACCAAGAGCATGACGAATGAAACTGTAAAAAGCTTGTATGTATGATTGTATGAATACTTTGAATGAGGCCTACAATAGAAACAGAAACGTTTTTATTCGATATAGATTATAAATAATACTTGAAAATCATTATTTTGTTTAACTACCACTGGTTCGAAAAAGAACCTCTGTACTGGGAAAAACCAGCAAGAAACCCAGCGGGACTTTTTTTAAATAACAGCTTACAATCATTTATGTTACACAATTAACAACACAACAAATTAGAAATAGCTTGGCAGCGATCACCTCATTTTCAGCGGTTATTATCATCCATAAATTCCTTAATATTATAATAACCCTTTTTATACAAACTAATTTAATAAAGTTTTTGAACTTTGAGCAGGTCAAATTTTGTATTTTCTCGAATTTTGTTGTAAAAGCTTATACATCGCCCCAAGAATGAATTACTGACTCGGTGGAGTCGAGTAACTGGTACTACTAGCTTGTGTCTGGTCCCAGTATTTACAGAATGAATATCACTTATTTATAAAACTACTTTTAGTTTTGTTTACGTACATTACATTTTCTTAAATATATTGAGAGGCGAAAGTTAATATATTAATTTCCTTAAATTTTTGTCGCAGCGACTCTTTAGGCTTTAAATCATAAATTTCTCTTATGGCCCTCTTCTGTAAAACAAATATATATATATTTCAATGTCAGTCAATAATCAGTGTCAATAACTATCAACTTACAAATAAGCTAGTTTTAGGTCATTTTATATGGGATTGTTACGAAATTTTTAATGAGCCAAGTGCATTTTATAAGTTGGTCCGCTGGTTGACTGTATGTCGACAAAGATGACTTTAATACTAAGGAGTCTGCTAAGGTACGAGTATGTAGTTCCAAAAACTTTAATGAGTCGTTAATAATCTAGGTAAAACATACTAAATAATTGTAAATATTTTTCTCATAACAAAGTTTCCATTACTATCTGTGCACTAATTAAATCTGCTAAAATATGGGCAGCGGCATCTCCTGATAACAGCTCAAAAAACCGGCAAGTGCGAGTCGGACTCGCGCATGAAGGGTTCCGTACCTTCGTACAGGGTTTTATACATTGTATGCAAAAAAAACACGTTTCTAGTAGGGGTGCCCCATTTAATTTTTATAATTTGTTATTATAGCGGCAACAGAAATACACATTCTGTGAAAATTTCAACTGTCTGCCCATAACGGATCATGAGATACAACCCGCTAACAGACAGACGGACGGACGGACAGCGGAGGGTTAGTAATAGAGTCCCGTTGGTTACCCTACGGGCACGGAACCCTAAAAACTGCGGCAGACAACTCGCCTCCCAAGCGTGGCAACAATGGCAAATATCGCCCCTATGAGGCAATCTATGGAGGAAGTCTGTGTTCAGTAGTGGACTTTAATGACTGATTTACACAGGGACAGTAACTGGCTCCGAATTCGAGGCAATAGTCAGTGCTGACCCGCTACTGGCATAATGTAAATTGATTTGGAGTCAGTACATCACTTTCGCGCCAGTGCTGACTTCAATATTCCTGCTTGAATGTTTTGAAGTCAGTCCACTCCCCCCGCCACCCATGCCAGTGGTATTAACTTTGTCTAAACGACCAAGTCAATGCTTGGTCAGTGGCTGGCGCTGCATTGTATGGTGACGTTACGTCAACAACAAAGCAGAATCTCCAGTTTCTTTTCTCTCGTCTATTCATTTTCTTATCAAAAATCGTGTCTTTTTAAATATCTCTTCTTCTAACATTTCCGTCAACTCTTTCAACAGCAGCTAGGAACTTATTACTCAATAAATATTTCAATCGTTGTAAATGCTGCTGTTTCAGAGAATTCGTTTTTCCCACTGCCTTTAATAACGTACGTACACTCTAAAGAAGTTACCACGACTATTGACTGCGTGTAAACAGTGCAAGTCAGTCCTCGGCGCAAGCACTGACGCCTGTTACTGACCCCGTGTAAATCAGCCTTAATAGTCAGTCTATAACGATAACGGTAATATCATATGATTTGAATGAGGTTTCGTAAATGTTAGCTAAGAAATGAACACTAAAGTTTATTCTTTTAATCGGACATAATTATTTATATTGTTTAATCAATATTAAAGCATAAAGTTAAAAATAATAAAATATGCCAGTCAAGGCTGTACAATTATCAGTTTTTGCTTTGTTAATGCATTATTATCGTACAAAAATTGCCTTATAGATGTTTGTTTTGAAACATCCCAAAAGAAATAATAGTGTCCATTTATAATGCAAGTAAATTTGGTCAAGTTATGAGTAATAATCCAAAATTAATAACATTTAAAAAAGACAAAATACTAGTAACAATTTCGTCATAAAAAGTAAAATACTACTTTTTATGACGAAATTGTTTGTATTTATCAGAAACACTTTTCCCGGTGCCTTTTAACATCTCCTCCGCTATCTTCTGCAAAGGCTGAAGTAACTGGTCTGCTTGTAGAAGTAGTTCGGTATGACGTTCCTTTAATACATCCAACGACTGAGCCATACAAGTCTCTAGGGCGTCACCGCCTTTCACTAAGGCTGTACAGATTTTTGACGATTCAACAGCCGAGAAACGCCCTCCCTCATGGTGCAGTTTTAAATGAGTCAAGAAACGAACATTAGAGACCCTTGCTTCTTGGACCTGGCGTTCAATTGTCTTCCTATAAAGGTCTGTAGCCGAATTTAAACTTTCTTCAAAACGCCGGCGATGATTTGTGAGTCTTTGAGCAAAACTCAGCATTTTCAACCTCTTTGTCTCGACGTCAACTGTGTGAGCTTGAAGTTCTTCCATTCCTGCTTCAATTTTTCGGATCCACTGACAAAACGGGTATAAGCCAGCATCTTCTAACGTCATGAACTTAGAAACCTCCATTGGCAAAGTATTAGCCAACTGATTAATTGCCCCTAAGTGAGACTCTAAACAGGCCTCATTCTTGCGTAACTCTGCTAAGCGTAAATCACGTGCAGCTTTGATGCGGTCTTTACGAATGTTAAGTGACATAATTTTTAAAGAATGTCGCTTCTTTAATGGCAATGATTTTTCTTCGACCCACAAACGAATTTGATGTTCTAGTTTTTCTGAAAGTAGTGGTAAATTGTTTTGAAAAGATTCCAGAAATCCATTTCCCCAATTAATAAGTATTTCTTCTTGATCTTCCACTTGAAATATTACTCTTAAAAGAGATGTCTTCATATTACAACCTGAATTACTTAGGCGTGAATCTGACAAATTATCTTCGCTTATATTTGGTTCATAATTTGTTTTTAGGTATTTATTAATATAGAAGTCGAGTTCTGCCTGCAGAATATTTGCCAAGGGTATATGCAGTTTCGAGATTTCCTCCAATCTCCCTACTTCAATATCACTATGATGTAAATATGCCTCTTCCGTCTGTTTAAGCAATAACTCTAAAGCATCATAATATTGTTGTAATTTTTCTTTATCGTTTGCAGTTACTAATTGTTCAAACGTTATGTTAAATGTAATTTCATTTGCGAGTTCGATAGAGTCGTGTTTACTTATAAGATCTTCAACAGCAGCCAATGTCAGTTTTTGAGCGAGAGCTAAACGAAGCATGTGCGCATCCCATAGATGGCTAGCATCATGTAAAATATTATATATATATGTAAGTTGTTTTCCCACCGAGTTCAAACTTTTGCTTATCATATTAAAACATTCAGCTAATTCAGAAAAGTCAGGACACGGAGGCACTTTAGTCTGGACACTAATTCCCGATATTCTTTGTGTTTCTTCAACAATTTGATCTAAAACAGATACTGAGAATTTATTTGTGCAACAAATTTTATTTAGAATGAAATTACGAATACCGATATTTTTATAAAATTCTTTAAGTTTATCCACATAGTTCATGTAAACATTTTTGATTGTATTCTGATATTCCTCGGATAATTTAAAAACACAATCTTCTATTTCTTTAACATTTATTGTAGTGTTGGTAGAAATTACTTTAGCATGACTAGCACTACCAGATCTCTTTTGAATGTCGTGATTATTGCTACATTCGGAAAGAGCACTGCCTGCACGTTTTATAGTCTTCACTCCTAGGCATAACTGATTAAGGATTGAACGAGCTTTTATCATGCTTCGATTTGCTTGAGCACGCAGCTGTATATCTAAATCACTATAAGCTGCGCAATTACTCAATAACTGTTGATTAATATTATAAATCTTCTCGTCACATTCCTGAAGCAACTCTTTTGAGGATCGATGACCTATAGCAATTATGCGATGAAAATGATCGTGAAGGATATTTCTTAGAGCGTTTGCACGTTCTTTTTCCAATCGTAAAGCATCCTCTTTAAAATTACTTATATCTTGAACTCTTTCTAAAATGAATTTATTTATTTCTTTTAGAGCACAAATGCGACCTTCGCCAGATAAAGTACCGTCCGTCAAATCTAGTTTTTTTACAATACAATCTATGTCATATTGATTTTTGTTGATAGTGCAAAGAAGTGTCTCTGCAAGAACACGAACCTTATATTCAATATCTCCATTAACTTTATCTTTACTATCTTCTAGAGCTTTAAGTATTTTAAAATAACTTTCTCTTCTTTCTTTCAGATAATTGGCAAGAATCGACCCACATTTTCTAGGAGTCCATTGGTAAGGTAAAACGGACACTGCGGCAGCGTCGTCCGTACAACCAGCTAACGTAGGGTTGATTTTTGCATTTTTGAAACAAGAGCAATGAAACTTGTTCTTTTTATTAAAACTATAGTTTCCATATCGTATCATTATAAAAATGTAATTAAAATATCAAAAACATATATATCTCTATAATTGACATATTAGTGACAGTTAATTTTTGTCAAAATTTTACCAAAGACAAATGTATTTATGTTTTTTATCAAAGACAATATACAAAAATGTTCAAGGGGAAGTTTATAGATAATATTCGCTTAAATTTAAGGAATTATTAGGACAAAATCTAATACCTATTTGGAACTTTTTATTAAAAGTTTATGATGTAAAACGATAGCATAATATTCAAAAAGAATCGCTTTTAAAACTAATAGTTGTAGAAAGTATATATATAGTATATATATATATCGGTCACGGCGGCAATTCATAAAAGAGGACATATGCGCAAGCACAAGTGCACTCTATTACGTCACACTCCGGGCTGCTACTGAAAAACCCAATAATTGATTCTGGCCTAACCCGGCATTTGAATCCAGAACTTCATGGTCAGCAACTGCGTTTACGACCACTGGTCCAACGAGGCAGTAACCTGGTCACTCATGGCTGAGTACCTGGTGGTAAGGTGAAGCTGGCCCATAAACAACTACATCGTTCTTAGATTAAGAATCAAAATGAAGATGCTTGTACTCCTGAGCACTAAGATGGAATGCCTCGTTGCCGATAAAAAGGGTCTCCGGTTGTCTAAACTCACTATACGAAACACAGCAGCATAAACTTATGCCGTGTTTCGTATAGTAAGTGCTATTACACGCTAATATTAAGAGGGTGGTCTATAATGGCAAATTGCGGTCTCTTCGCATAAGGATATTCCGCACATTAGCTTGAAGCGCCTTTTGAAATAAATGCACCATGAGCAGACATCATCACAGGCCTCCTCTTATTTCTGCGGATTATAGAGTAATTAGTCAATAACACTTTTTAGTGAGTGTTTACGAAATTTACATGTCGTCTAAATATTCTTATTTCTCAAGCTTTTACAATTCAAATAACCGATACCATAACACACATTTTTTATAGGATAAGGGTGAGCACACAAACTACCTGATAGTAAGTGGATGATGTGGTTCATAAACATTTACATCTATCCTTATTTAAGAATACAGATGCGGTGCCACCCCTCAGAACTAAAATGGAATGCCTCGTTTCCAGTCTCTCGTTTTCTACAGACCGTATGAAACACAGCAGCATAAACTATGCTCATAGATGTAGCAAGATTACTTTCGGGTTTTAAAATTGCATTTGTTTTGAATAAAACTATTTTTACGGATTTTATCGCGTTTAATTAACTTATTTATTTTATATTCCCGACGTTTCGGTTGCTTTCCAGCAACCGTGGTCACGGGGGACTGAGGTGATTGACGTCCCGATGTCAAAGTTAACCCGGAGTACCTTCAGCTTTTTAATTATTAATTTTGGTCCGATCTACGCAGAATGAACTAACTGTGTCTTGAAGTCTTACAGTGGTATGCTTGGGTTTAGTTTTAATTTTATGAATTACAGGATCCCAAGCAGGTGGTAGTACCCAGCCTCCCTCTCTATTGAAATTAGGATGTTTTTTAATTTCAATAGCCTCACGTATCATCCTTGGCAGGAATCGATGTTCTTTCGCGAGGACTTGTGGTTTATCAAATCTAATGTAATTACGGGGGCCGTCTAGGATATGATCACAAACTGCAGACTTCCCGGAACGTTGGTGCTTCACGTCAGCTATGTGTTCTTTTACGCGGGTTTTTATTGATCGTTTTGTTTGCCCTATATATGAGAGACCACACTCACAATCAAGCTTGTATACTCCTGCATCTTGTAGAGGAATATTGCACTTGACGGATGGTAAGAACTGACTAATCTTCTTCGGCGGCTTGAAGAATGTTCTAATAGAAGCTCGCTTCAAGATGTAGCCAATCTTGTCTGTGACACCTCTGACATATGGTAGTACAGCAGGCACACGCTCGACTGTGGCCGGCTTCACTCGGTCACTGTGACGTAGGCGCGGAACCCGAAGCTTGTTGTCGTGCAGAACCTGCTTGACGTGCTGAAGCTCGGCGGCCAGGTGTTTGCTGTCACAGATCCCTCGTGCTCTCTGCAACAAAGATTTGCCCACGGTAGCTAACTGTGAAGGGTGATGGTGGGATTCACCGTTTAAGTATCGGTTTGTATGGGTCTTTTTTCTATACACAGTGTGACCTACGGTGTTATTAGGATTTCGAATGACTAACACATCTAGGAAAGCTAAAGAATTATTTGCCTCTAACTCCATAGTAAATTGAATTTTAGAGTTTATGGAATTAAGATGTTCTAAAAATGCAGTTACTTTGTCTGATGGTAAAATTGTGAAAGTATCGTCTACGTACCGCTTGTAGAAACTTGGAGTTACTAGTGCAGTAAGCAGGGCTTTCTCCTTAAACTCCTCCATGAAAATATCGGCGACAATGGGAGATACCGGTGAGCCCATCGCAACACCATCTACTTGCTTGTAAAACTGTTCCTTCCACAATAGGTAGCCAGATGTAAGGCAATGTCTGAGTAATACTGCATATTCTGCTGGCATGTTGTTTTCCTCTAGTTTCCTAGTTATAATTGAGATGCAGTCTTCAACAGGTAGGCATGTAAATAGAGACTGAACATCAAAACTGACCATAGTTTCATTGTCAGTAAGACATAGGTCTTTTATCTCACTGACAAAATGGTATGAATCCTTAGTGTGTGCTCTTGTATGTCCTCTGAGTGGTGATAGTACTTTTGCTAAGTGTTGAGCCAATCTGTAAGTTGGCGAATCGATCTGACTCACTATTGGACGTAATGGAGCGTTCGGTTTGTGTATTTTTGGTAACCCATACAACTTCGGTGGTTTGGCACACGTAGGTATTATCGAATTTACGTCTAGATTCAGTTTCTCGGAGTATTTCTTTATTAGATCGCTAGTTGTTTTAAGCGTATTAGTTGTAGGATCTGTTTTGACCTTTACGTACGTACTTTCATCCGATAAAAGTTGTTGTATTTTAAAATTGTAATCCGACGTATCCATTATAACCGTAGCATTACCTTTATCTGCGCGGAGAATCGTAAGATCTGGTCTGTTGCGTAAGTTTTTCAATGCAGTAAATTCATCTTTGGGAAGATTTAATTTTGGCGCTGAGCTTCGACGTAACAAGGACGAAATGTCTTGACGTATAGCCTCTAAATCTTCTTTACCAATATTATTTTTATACAGACAGTCCTCAACACTACAGATAATGTTTTCATACGGAATTTTTCGCGGTGTTATAGCGAAATTCATACCTTTGGCCAAAACTTTTATTGTCGCGTCGTCTAGAGATTGTTTTGACAGGTTATAGACCGCACGTTGTTTATTACTCGCGTCTGTTGTCAATGATTGCGTTCCGTTATTACGTTGACATTGGCGTTGGACATTTGATTTGGTTGTTAGTTTTTGGTATTTATCTATATGTTTATTTTTGCATTCATTGTATTTAGTTGTTTCACGTTTGTCTAAAGTTTCCATGCAATTCTTATAATCAAATGTCGATAAAACTGTCTTTAGATCACTGGACGATTTGTCTATGGTTTTATTAATGAAAAATTAATAATTAAAAAGCTGAAGGTACTCCGGGTTAACTTTGACATCGGGACGTCAATCACCTCAGTCCCCCGTGACCACGGTTGCTGGAAAGCAACCGAAACGTCGGGAATATAAATATAAATAAGTTAATTAAACGCGATAAAATCCGTAAAAATAGTTTTATTCAATGTGTAGTGTTCGCGTAAATATAAGAAATCATTCTTGCATTTGTTTATTTAATTTTACCGGAATAAAAAATATAGTAAATACTTGTACAATATACATATAATTTAGTTGCGAAAATTGCAAATTTAACCAGGTGTCACGTCCTGAATCAATTTACTCGGATGACTGGCAAGAGTGTATGACTTCGTTATAAGTAATAACGCTTAAGTGACTCTGGGTTTGCTCTATAGCAGATTTATTTCTTATTTTAACCAGTACCTACAATTTATAGATTATAAGGAAATTTTACCAGTCAGTAAGACCTCCTCTTACCTATTTCTCCTGCCAAATAGCAGTGCCTATACTGCTGCGTTCCGTTCTGAAGGGAAAGGAAAGTGTAGGTATATATTTATACCTTAACATATCTTTTTTATAAGTAATAGAATCAGGCGTTACTTTGCGGAAATCCATTATATTAAAGGTGGTAAAAATTACTTTGCTTAATTTAACAAGTTTTAGTGGCGACATTTTTCTCTACAGAGCACTTTTAGTGGTGCAAATGAGATGCCCTACTTTTCAGGTCACTATAGAGCTGCACTGCCGCACGAAATATTCGGCTAGACCGAGAAGTGATCACGCTCTCACGGAATACCTGCGTTAAAATAACAGTATAATGCTGCTGCCACCGTTACCAGATTGGGGGTTTTTTTTCGCAATTCGGGGGGAAAAAGAATTGGGGAATAATTGGGGAAATAGAATCTTTGGGGAAACTTTTGGGGGGAAAAAATACATAATGGGGAATTTTGGGGGCTAGTATTTTTAAAACGAGAAAAAATAAAAAATCCAATGAAACGAACGTACTTTTTGTTGAGCTAACTTATCACGGTTAAAATGTAAGATATGAGAGTTATATATAAAAAAAAAAACTCTGTGTCTATGTCTGTGGTGTGGTGTTATGTGTTGGACTGTGGTTGCGTTGGCGCGATTTTCTCTGAGTACCTAAATAAATATTTCTAGTTGTTCTGTCGTGTCGAATGATATTTGATACTCAAATGATATGAAAAATGGTTCGACGATATAGACCGGTATGGGAAGCGGAACCTCAGTTTGCAGGTGAGATTTTATTATAAAATGATCTATAGGTACATAGTTGTAACCTAAAAATGGAAATGTAAACAAAAAAATTTGTATGAACTTGTCGTTATTGTGTGTAACGATCTATATATCTAAGTAATCAGAAGCCAGAGCAGTCGAATACTGAAACTGCATAAATTTTGTTTTTAGAATTTCCGACTCGCGTAAATTCGAGTCTCATAAACGACGGTAATGTTACCAGCTACCTACACTTTACACTAG